TATTTTGACTACTAGTCGAAATATATATTAATATCTTAAAAAGGATTACTGCATACAATAGCTGCTTCATTATCGTAAAATTTATTATTACTTGGCAATCACATTGTAATAGAAAGATGATAAAGAGGGCCCAGGAAGGAGGCGAATGGATAATGCTGACGGACCTGGTAGGTCATTTTGTTAATTTGTTATTGGGTTAAATTGAAGTTAATAAACCATTTATTGAAAGCAGCAGTGACGGATAAGCCAAAGGAACCAAGGAGAGCATCCAAACCTAAACCGAAGCCAGAATTAAAGGGGCCTGCCTCGAAAGTGGTAAAAGAGTTACTTAGCTGAATATTTATCATTATATTTACATTCAATATGGAATAAACTAACTTTATATTTGATGTAATGAAATATTCATAGGAACCTACACCTCAAGAAGGACAAGTTTCTTTAGAGGACTTCAATTTATTTAAAGTTATTGGTCGAGGAAGTTATGCTAAAGTTCTTATGGTAGTATATTTTTATCCTTGTTATTTATCACTAACTACTTTTAAGTACTAAAAAATTTACTAATTTGTGATAACCGTATTTTCTCTTTACTTCTAAACCTAATATTATGCACTATTTTGTGTTCTCTTTAGTTCTAATTTCTAATATTAAAATCTGACTTCACTGATATGAAACCATATTTCTTGTAGGTTCAATATAAGAAAACAAAAGCCATTTATGCTATGAAAGTTATTAAAAAAGAGATTATTAATGATGAGGAGGTAACATTCCCAACTGGAATCTAATGCGTAGTTTTTTCCTTCAGCGATGATATCCAATGTATGGTACGATTTAAGGTGTTCCATGTAATTTTCCAATAAATTATTTACTAGGATATTGATTGGGTACAAACTGAAAAGCACGTATTTGAGATTGCGTCAAATCATCCATTTTTAGTGGGATTGCATTCATGCTTTCAAACTAACAGCAGGTTATTAGAAAAAGTTACTTACGATAGATTTACTGTTCTATCAGGATAAAAAAAATTTTTCATATTCCACAATTATTTTAATTATTTGTGTTTAAGAATTTTTGAAACATCTATATTTACAAAATTCTTTTCTTTATATAAGTATATTCAATTTTTGTATTTCTCTGAATAAGCCTGTTTAAAAATTTAAGTGATAACACTAGTCCAATTTTATCATCTATGTTTATTTTTATAGTCCACTTAAAACGAAACAATTATAACCATTTATAGAAGCGTTAACATTATTTCGTATTCCTATCTAGTATTATATAGCATATAAGAATAATAGTGAAAACTATGTCACAATTCATAATGCGTATGTGGGTACGGAATTAAATTTGGTAATGATATACTGACGTACTTCTGGTGAAATTTCAGATTATTTTTCATTATTGAATTCGTAAATGGTGGTGATCTAATGTACCATATGCAACGTCAAAGAAGATTACCTGAAGATCATGCTAGGTAGTAATTTAGATGTTATAAACATAATAATTTGTTTAATTCAGAAATACACAAAGCTACAATTTGAAAATTTATAGTAACATTATCGTTTTATCTCGTGCCTTGGATCTATAAAGGTTTTATGCGGGTGAAATTTGCTTGGGATTACATTTCTTGCACGCTAGAGGTTAGACAAATAAACATCTTAGCTTGATAAATTTAACAAGAAACTCATTTATAGATAAAGGATCTAAGTTATAGTAGTAATACAAAATGTTCACATAGGCAAAGCTGTTGACAGGATATTTATTTTTTATACAATAATGTGGTCTAATGTTAATAATTTCAACTTTATTTATATGTTATAAACCTTCTATGAAATTTATGTAACGGAGAGGTATCTTTAAAATTCATTTCTAATCACAAAGGTATCATTTATCGAGATTTGAAATTGGATAATGTATTACTTGACTCTACTGGTCATATAAAATTAACCGACTATGGAATGTGTAAGGTAACGCGAATTAATCTTCTGAACTCTAAAATTCTGTAATAAGATCTATTTGCTATCACATTTAGAAGATTACTAGCTCGTATGAAGTTTTATACTGATATTATTACTTCAATTTAATTCAATCCTTTTAGGAAGGCCTTGGGCCGGGCGATACTACAGGTACATTTTGTGGTACGCCAAATTATATTGCGCCAGAAATATTAAGAGGCCAAGATTACTGTAAGTAAATTTAATAGTACACTGTATATAATAAATATTCCTACTATAGAGTTTGCTTGACCCTTGTCTCCAAAATTAGTCATGTACCGGTCATTACGATATGTATAAATAAATCAAAACGAAAGTATAATTTAGGAATATTTTTGCAGCCTATTCTGTGGATTGGTGGGCTTTAGGAGTACTTATGTTTGAAATGTTGGCTGGAAGATCCCCATTTGATGTCGCTGGTAATCCAGATGCGGAGCAAAGTAACTCGGAAGATTATTTGTTTCAAGGTGAATACTAATTCTAACATTACCGAAAAATATCATTAAGTGATAAAGAGATTTAGTGGATCTGTATACCAGAAATACACACAGCTTAATATAAATCAAAGAGTTCTTGAGACTAACAAGACTTCCATACTATGTAAATTATAATTATGAACCTATAGCACATTAAAACGATTTTTTCTGCTTTAAATTTTAGTCATCCTCGAAAAGACAATCCGCATTCCTAGATCTTTATCGGTCAAGGCGGCATCTGTTTTGAAAGGATTTTTAAATAAGGTAAAATTGACGTCTTCAAATTAATTTCTAATCATATATTTCAATGAACCCCAGCACATGTGAAAACGTTTAAGAACTTTCTATATGTCTAGGCGCATGAAGAAAGATTAGGTTGCCATCCAGAAACAGGATTTACTGATATCCAGTCTCATGTTTTCTTCCGCCAAATTGATTGGGAAGAGGTAATATTATTAATACCATTCTACGAACGGCAGCCTCGAATTTTGTCTTATAAAGCTGACTCACTTAATCATGCAATCTGAAAACAATATATGTATATGATTAAGTCCTTAATACCTCAAATAGGTGTTTTAAGCAACTTTTAGTATTATATCAACTGTTAAATTTGTGATATTAGCTTTACCTTATAGATTATTTCAGAAGCATCGGTAATTCTTATATAAGTACACCAGAATTAAATTTTAACCATCTATTATTGTATTTGTATTTGACTAGCTTGAAGCCCGTCAAATTCCTCCTCCTTATATCCCTCAAGTCGAAAATTTCCAGGATCTGTCACATTTCGATCCACAATTTACAAGTGAACCCACCGATTTTACTCCGGATGATCCGTTAGTAACTTATACTAGTTTTAAACTTTGTATAAATATACCAGTATATGTTGCAGCCATATTCTACAGTAGTATATAGATAATTATCGCGATAGACATTCAGTTAAATTCTAATGCTTGAGTTAGAATTCGTTCATTTTAATTCATTAAAATATTTGAATGCTACTCTTTAATGCTTTGTTTCTGTTTTGTCAGATTTATCCTGGAGAAAATTGATCAGTCTGAATTTGATGGGTTCGAGTACGTTAATCCTCTTCTTATGTCCGAAGAGGATGCGGTGTAAATAATTAGTTAACCTTAATAATAATGCGATACATGAGACGTGAAGGGCGGATATCTTTAATCTACGTTAGATTTTCGAAAGTATTACATATCCCGTTTAAGTATGTTGGACTCATTTTAAGGGTGACTTTCATAAAAGGTCATTAAAATTATCAATGACTGTACTCTTACAACAAAATTTAGATTATAAGATATTCGGCCATTCACTAGTATAGTGTTAATTAATCCAATTTCATTCCATACCAAATTGGGAATACTTTCAACTTATACTGTAAGTATTCATTGGGGCTCAAGCATTTACTAAGAATAACGTTTAGGTCTTTTACTTCTACATTTAATTTTCAAACGCGTATTGTTATTTTAAAATCTAAATGGGCAAATGAATGACTTCAGATTGAAATCGAAGTTGTATTTTGGTTAATGTGTATCATATAGAACCTAATTTTAGTTTTGTGATATTTTATTTAAAATTGTCTCGCAAATAATCGCATTTTTTAAACAAATAAGGCCCGTTACAGATTTTCTGTGTTAAATTTTATTTGGTGTAGGATTTATTGTTTGAATGATAGTCATCCAGAATTCTTATATAGCTCCATTATACACCTAGGCGTATACATACCTGTAACTTTTTCAAAAATTTTATCGAAGCTGATTTTACTTTGGAATCTTTTTAAATAATTCTTGGATGCAATATATGGAATACAGCTAAAAAAATTCAATATGGTATTGGTATACAGATAGGACCACAATAAAATTCAGTTATCGAGTAAATGTTACAGAAGGACAATGTTTCATTAAAAAATTTGCTCTCAAAATTGGATTGAAAGGTGGTCATCATTATTCATTTACGTATGCAATGTTATTGTATTACATCTGAGCCAAATAATCCACTACATAATTTTTTAAAGCATTCAATAATAGCAAAATAAGACTCTTGCCACTCAATTTAATCCCTATACCACCATTTATACATATGGGATAAAAAATCGTAGCAGCCAAGTGCTGCGATAACTATGAGAACATAGACAATGGAAGAACCAGGAACGGAATCCTTCGACTTAGATTTTGCCTTAACCTTTTCGGACTGAGTTGAGTTCTAGCGTGTATAATTTATACGATTAATTTACTGTAGAATAGCCGTATGATATCAGCACTAGAACGCTATTTCGCTAGGATTAGAGATAAAAATTATTTAGCTATATTTAAAGTAGCCTATGTAGATTAGCGAATATGAACAGTCTGAACTATCTAACTTTTCCAATTACAATAAAATTATCACAATATACATATATTACTTACTGTACTGTTGGCATCTTTTGCAGCAAATTCTTTCGAAGTAAGCGATAGGCGTGGCATATTTACAAGTGTTTCACGAACTACCCTCCCCATTAAGTAATGCTTTCCAGTTTCTATAATATCCACCTCGACCGTTTTGCCTAGTAGATCCATATCCATAGGAACTAACACCTGAAGGTTATAAATTATGAAGTAATGAATACTATTTTTCGAATTTTAAGACTTTTAATGAATAAAGTACTACATCCGTGGAATTGGAATAAAATAGTTAAAATGTTTAACTTAGACAGATTACATAGAGGTAATGAAATGCGTAAACTTACTTGATCATAAAATTTATTATGACCGACGAAATGATTACCATCGTGAGATAATTCCGTTATTAGAATTCTTTGTCTCTCTCCTAGCTGCAAATTTAATAGAAAAAAACGCACATATTGGTGTCATTCGAAAATATCCGTAATAGCTTTATATTTTGTGTCTGAAATAAATGAATAACATCCAATGAAACCTTGTGATCGTACGGACGGTAAGACTTGAATAACTGCGTTAATTCACGAGACCTATTCTTGACTTCTTCCGTCGGTATACGTTTCATTTTTGCTGCGGGTGTACCAGGTCGGGGATAAAATTGATTGATAAATACACTTGGAAACTTGTGACGTTCAATCAAACGTAAGGTTTTCGCAAAATCCTAAAACGTAATAAAAGGTAACTTCATTAGAAAAAGAATGCATAACATGAAAATTTGCATCCAAATGTATAAACTAAAAGCCTACATCTTTCTCTTCAGTCGGAAATCCACAAATTATGTCAGTTGCAATAGTAATACCAGGTACTCTACATTAATGTAAACAGGATAATTATTAATCTTATAGTCATTGAGTATTGATATAAAAACGGTATCGTAATATAATGTGTAGCAAATATAAATCTATGGTGGGAGGCCTTACTTGTCACTTAAATAATTCACAACCTTCTCAAAATCAGTAACAGTATATTCCCGACGCATATCGTATAGAACTTTGTCCGACCCTGCTTGGACAGGTACGTGAAGGAATGAGTATACACGAGGATGAGATAATATCTTAGCCATTTCCTGTGAAATAGAAATGTGAGCGTAGAAGCTTAGCTAATCAATTAACCGAAGGATGCAGATATACTGTACAAATTACGTCGATAATATTACTTCTAGATGTTCAAGGATATAGGGTGGATTGGTCATTCCAATTCTTAACATAGCACCGTCAGGTATGACTTTGACCAACTGCCATAGTAAATCCGGTAACGAGACGCCGATATCAATTCCATAAGCGCCTGTATCTTCGCTAGTTATCCATATTTCAGCAACTCCTTCTGCAATTTTAGAGCGATGTTTTATGAGAATGTAGCTATTGACAATGTTATAACTAAAACAATAGCTCATTGGTCTTCCTAAAATTTGCTTAGTTAATTCTACGCTACCATTGAAGGCAGTTTTTGCTCTTTCGACTATATCCTCGATGGGATAGCTTCCCAAATCTCCCCTTGCATGTTTTGTCTTGCAATAAGTGCATGCATTAAGGCATCTGTAAATTTGATCAGGAGTAATATCCTAAGAAATGATTTTATGATCTTATACGATAATTATTGCACCATATTAATGCGAGCAGATGATTCGATGTTTCTTTAAATTTCACGTAAATGAAGGTATCTTACTTACCCTGTATTTATAGCAATGATCTCTACCAGTGGATTTTTTCGAATTTTAGGTAGATTCAAAGGTGCACCACCCAATTTTTTTCCATTCTTTCTTTTCTGTCCAAATAATCTAACTGAATGCCCTATTCGATGAAAAGTAATATCAATGGGATTTGAGATATAATATTATGAAATTATCATTGACGATCTGTTAAGTCAATATAAATCAATCATTTCGAAATGATTTCTAGATTGTCCTATTCAATGCCATTACAGACGCAGGAAGTAAAATTAATGAAGATAAATATACAGTACCTTTCAATGTTTCTTCAACTACTTCAACTACGCGGTCAATTTGTTGAACCTAATTTGGTTATGGTCAGTTACACGTATGTCAATGTAAAAATCTTTTAAGGTACTGCATACGTTATTAGTAAAAGGTATAATAGGTTTGCGTAGCAAAGAAATTGTCGTATACAAATTCAAATAGTGCATGTTTACCCCTACTACACTTATACCATCCATTAAGGGGTGCCTTTTTTGACCTTGAGGAACACAACCGGCCAAAACCAGATACTTTTTTAACTCCTTCGCCTTACGAATATCATTATAAAAGCTGTCTTCAGCTGGATTTTTGACAGCGCAGCTATTCAACAACCATAAATCAGCTTCTTCTGGTATTTCTGCGTACGAATATTTCAATAATACCATGCAAGTGCAAACGAAAGTGGTAAACATCAGACAACGTTAGCAAGGAGAAGATTAATATTTGGAAGATATCAATTACCCTCAGAATCAAGATTACAAGAAGTGATATTGTACGTACTGTACTTCTACTGTATTTAACGAGAAGGAACTACGTAGATGCAAGATGCTCCTTGGCACCTCGTTCATCACTATAAGATACAAAATTGACAGCAAACTTCCCTATCGATTTGGTACGTCAGTGAATTATACATCTACTATCTATTCAATGTGTAATATTTGCTAACTAAACAAGTAAACATTAGAATATGTACTTCGGAATATTAGTGCTATACATATGTTTATACGCGTAGATTATAGTACGTACGCGTATTCTAGTTTATCGATATGACCTCAGCATGCATACAACTATCTCAATATCCTACCAGTGATTTTATATCCATAACTGCTCAATTGACCGGCCATATATTCACCATCAGATTTGTTATGTGAACATCCCCAAGTACGGATGTAGATACCTTGTGTTCCAGGGATGATACTGTCTCCAACAGCTTTTTCATCCACCTCAACATTGGAATCGCTCTTACCTTGCCGTTTAGATGGACGCGATCGCAATTTCACATTATTTCTTGATATTTTTGATCTTACATCAACAGAATACGATTCCTCTTTGGAGATTAAATCTTCGATATCTTCTACTGCGTTCCTTTGGCTATCTACGGACATTTTAAGTGAAGTTTTGCCCTAAGTAATTTACATGTTATGCAGTCCACTTGTTCCAAAATGTGGAAAAGAATGCCGAAAGGAATTCGCTGCAGTAGTTTGCCTTGAGCTTCGGTGCAGCGGAAGAGATTGTAACCGACAGTACAGAGAGCAAGCTGGTTGGCCAGATACCGCTACAATTGCTACAGTACAGTACATTCATTGTGCACAGTGGTCAAATGCTACAGTACCGTACAGTTTAATGCGTTGTACTGTACACTGTACACTGTACTGTATGTCTGTACCCTCCATCTGTACACTGCGCGAATAGAATTTCCTATCCACTAGTGGTACGGTATACAGTACTGTAAACCACTGCTACAGGGGCGTGGCAAGCCCTCTACAATGGTTGAAAGACGTTCAGCGTTGCCTTAAATATGTCTTTCAATTGTGAAGAAATGGACTTTAAATTTGGCTCGAATTCCATGTAGACAGATCTGTACAACCTTGAGCAATTGGCTCTTGATATTTTGATTACTTTTTATCGTACTATTGAATAATTCTATTTCTTTCAAGCTTCTAATACAAACTATCAGTCGCTGTTCCACGTACGGTCGCTCCAACCATTTTACAAGTCAAGTCGTAATGCCGGTCTACAGTACTGTACTGTACTGTACTGTATACTGTACAGTACAGTATATAGACTCTACAGTGTACTGTACTGTATAGTATACTGTACTGTATGTACTGTTTTGTTGATTAAGGTTAATTAATTCTAACAAGCGATAAGAACAATTCTACCATAGTAGTATGATGGCGAACCAGGAAAGCGTTGAGGATAGCTTAGGAAAATTATATTTATCCCAAGAAGGTGATGATAACTCAAAGTCGACGAAGGAGGACAATCTTGAATCTATTGCCCAATTGATTAAGTCGAAAGAATGTAAAAATATCATTGTTATGACTGGAGCTGGCTTATCAACTGCAGCTGGTATTCCCGATTTTCGATCACCTGATATTGGATTATTTACCAAAGTGATGCAAAAATATCAAGTGACAAGCCCGGAATTGGTGTTTAGTATCGATTATTTTCACGAAAATCCATCTGTATTTTATGAAATGTCTCGTGGAATGACTGAAACAGATTATAAACCTACCATAGCTCATTATTTCTTAAAGTTATTAGCTGATAAGAATTTACTCTTGCGACATTATACACAAAATGTTGATGGATTAGATTTAGCAGCCGGTTTATCCGAAGATAAAGTGGTCACCGCTCATGGTACTATGTACACCGCACATTGTACAACTTCGGAATGCCATACCAAGTATACTTTGGAATGGTTGAAACAACAATTATTAAAAACTCCAGATATTACCGTACCACGTTGTGATAAATGTCAGGGCGTAATAAAGCCCGATGTTGTCCTTTATGGTGAACAGCTGCCAAATAAATTCTTTACTATGCGATCTGCTGATTTCCCAAATTGTGACTTACTGATTATAATGGGAACTTCGTTGAAAGTCGAACCGTTTGCATCGTTAGTTGAACACGTTCCAGAGCATGCTCCACGCTTGTTGATCAATTTAGAAGAAACTGGCCAAGATCATGGTATGTTTAGTCGATCACCTAGTCAAATTGGTGGAATGGTTAAGCACCTTCTTGGATGGAATTCCAATCGGAAAGATATATTTTGGAAAGGAAGTTGTGATGATGGTTGCTTGAAACTTGCAGATTTACTTGGTTGGAAGCAGGAGTTGTTAAAGTTGAAAGAAGACCAACAAAAGAAACCAAGCCAAGATACTCTACCGAACGTTAAATTGTAATCGTATTTCGTATATAATACAACATCGTACTTTCCTTGGTCGTGATTTATTTCACTGTATTGCTTTAATCTTATTATTGCATATACAGTAAATATGAGATTTAAATCATGCACGCACAGTGAGAACTAATGCCAGTTGCGTTAAATTGAAACAGTAGACTGAAATACTAGTAGGATTTTATTTTTAAGTTGATTGAATAGATTTTATTACCTATTGCATCATATAGAACTATACATTCAAGTTTGGGTTACATCAACCGCGTCTAAATAAGTTTTCCTAACGTCTGCAAAAGGAACTTGAATAAAATCTCAGATTAATTCATCAATGGCACCTCTAGATAGAATATTCGTACATACTAATGAAAGAGAAATACTGCATTTAAATGCGGTATTGATTATAGGCGTATATTATTATTATTACTTTACAGGTGATTTTTATACTGATTTCTTATATCTTAGAAATAGTAATTTTACCATCTGCTATTATATATCTAATACTGTGATACAGTATAATGTATGAATAACGATATCGGCTACATGTATGATATTTGTATCAACTATAGATTTTATGTTTCCATTTGATTTATTACGTTATCAATTATAATAAATGTACCTGCTATAAATGTAACTAATACAGTACGTATTTGTTACTGTATTTATAAAAGCTTAAAATGACACTTTTGCATTTGAATATCTACTATTGTAATGATGTCATCTTGCAAATATTAATAGACTAAAATGAGATCAATAAATTCTTGAAAAATTTACAAACTTTTATATTCAAGTAAAAATTAGATGGTTTTAATCAATCACAACTGAACGGAATACATTTCGTGTAAACTTAGCACGCAAGCATTGAACAGTTACCGCAAACTATTCCAGTTGAAGTGTAAGCAATTATTCGCATATGTAATTCTTTAGTTAGATTGGCATGATTTTAAAGTGTAAAAATAACTTACTAAAAATTATTTGAGGAAGCAATCTGACTTAGTTAATCCTGTTTGTATAGACAGCCGATACTTTGGCCATACAAAAATTGAGGCATACTTAGCTGTAGTCTCGCATCTAGTACCTACACATATGCAATTATAGTTAAGTAACATTCATTTCTAAGACGAGAATTATTTACAGTTTAGCGAAATGAACCCCATTCACAATATTGCAAGACACCATAGCGACCGGTGTATAAAAAATTGTAACTTCTTAACATCAATTATTGAAATATGGTATAATTATGCCCGTATCCTGCTAATTTTTAAGAATGAATGATAACATGTTTATATAGCGCTTTCCATCTTGTATGAATGTTGTAATTTAACAGATCATTGCACTATCGGAATTACCAAGTATCCTGAAGTATTAAATCATTGAAAATCACCTCCAATACAAAGTAGAATTACGCTTATAAAACATAACAATGTTTGCATTTAGGTCGACCACATGTTACAATCTGTGTGACAAATTATCACGATAAGCTTATTCGAAATGACAATAGTAAAAGATCTTGATTTTGTTTTAATTTATCATTTATGAAAAAGCATGCTTATAATATAGCCTTTCAGCGAATTTAGTGACAGGTGAATATATTTTCGTTACAATATAATGATAATACTTTGAATCTTTTTCTTCAGGTTCACAGCTGGTTATACTATCTAGCAAAGATTTACCGTTATGTTAGATATATGTATCTTTAAGACAGCTGTGCGTACACTGACTGGCGTTCAAGCTTTTCACATCAAAGCGTTACTTATAACCAATTAAGTTAGCTATGCTATTACAAGTACATTACTTGTGTCCTATCCTTAATAACAATCATAATCCAGAAAGACGTTTTACAGTAAAAATGAAGCATATTAAATACTCAACATCGATCAGTTTTTCTTAAATTAGTAGTTGGCCACAGTACAATAACTCATATTTGTGTAAGCACAACGAGAGCTCAATATTGATTTACATATTTCTTATGTTGATAGTTGCTCCTTAAAGAAGACAAGCAATAAGATAGCAATCTATTCTTGTGTTTACAAAATCTTACACCGTTTTTTGGCACAATATTAGAAATTCATTCGATAAGTAGTGATGAATATACAGTACCGCAAAATAAAATCATCTTCCATATAGATTAAAAAGGATTGCATAAAAATGAGCTCCTACTATTACAAGCTGACAAAATTTTAAGCGATTACGTTCAATTACGGGAAGTTGAGAATAATGAATATCTAGGTGTGGAATCAGTTTTAATTTTGATTTCATATAAGTGTAACGTAGTTATAAATCTCTGATCTTGAATCCACATTATATCTATTTTTTTTAAATATCAAGAGCACTAAGTTCTTGAAGTAGCTGCGTGAAAGATTTCTGCAATAACCACATCGCAGCTCCTAACAAGGGGCTAAATTGATTTAGTAAGCAAGAATACAATTAACACTCGTTACAGTGACAGTAAAAATACTTTGCAAGACTGTTATTGGTCTTGATCTTTCTTTAATGTTTTTTCTCGTTTTACTTTTTCTAAAAGGGACACAGCCATTTTCTCTGCTTCAGCATCTTTACGAATAATTGCATCCTGACGATGTTGTTCTAAGAATAGTTGTAATTGTTTATGAGGCCCGTTTTTGCGTGCAGTGTCAGTAATCTCTTTATGCAATGCGACGATTCGATTATTGTTGTCTTCTTTTCTTTTCCTAATGATCTCTCCGCCTACAGTGGCTATGAAATAATGTATAATTACACCGACTAGAGATATTCCACATAGCCACAAAACTACAATGTAATTTTTCGTTTTGAATATTTTTGGAGGCTTAGCATAGGATTGTTGGCTATTATACCCTTGGAAATTGTTACGCCAGTAATGGGGTGGATAAGAGGTGATGTAATGATCAGGCGTACTATGCAACTTAAAATCATAATCTTTACGAGTCGTTGGATCAAGCAGAGTGGTATATGCTTCATTTAACTTTACGAAAGTATCATGTTTTACTTTATCACGTGGATGCCAATCCGGATGGCAATCCCTAGATTTCTTAAAATAAGCCGCTTTGATTTGTTCCTGATTGGCAAATTCAGAGATTCCTAATAGCTCGTAATGAGACTGCCGGTAAACCAAAGAAGAACGTAAATATCGAATGCAGACATACGAGATGGTATTACAGAGATGCCCTTTCAGTTGATATAAACTGGGCTGAAAGTATACGCCAAGTGTCCTTCGAGAGATACGTGTATTTACATTATTTATGAGATTTGGCAATCGAAGAAGCATATTGATTGTTTCTGCCTATTAAATGTGTCATTGCACCTTATATTACATGGACAGTCGTAGTTATTGGTATGAATTATCGCCTAATTGCCTATCTTTGTTGAAGGAAAGTGATTTGGAGAATTTACTCTATGAAATTGTAGAGTATCAGATTATGTTCTAATGCAAAGTATACCAAAGTTCAAAATTCTTCATTGGCTGATCTTTCTCTATAGTATCGCATATCAATCTATCAATCATGAATAAGAATATATTTTCAATTCATTGACAGCAGGTATACTCGTATGAGAGTATTCTACAATCATACCATGCAAAATACGATTCTTCATTCCTACCTTAATATCCTAATATTTTAATCATGCTCTAGGTCATTGTTGGAAGTAATTCTAGGTAATACGGTCATTTCCTCGCAAGTATACGATTGCAATGATACTAGAGAGCAAAATTCTCCCAGGTCGTCTTGATCTTTCCACCAAATGCTTGGTGATAACGTTGTCGGAAAGGACCGGCTTAGGCCGCCGTCAGGATGTTCATTTAACCTCAAGGAAGTGCTATGACTGACTAATGACTATGCAGTAGTATGTTGTCGCGAACACTCTGCACGTCATAATGCAATTACAAGAAATTAGTATTCAGCGAATGTTTCTATCTGTCAGGAGGCCTAAATCAGCACTTCAGCCACTACCCACTGTCTACTGTATAGATGAACCGGTCCGAACCGGATCGTTCTCAGGTCTAGTCGTCTAGGTACAGTACTGTACAGTAAACCTCTATGGTCCACCGTACCGTCACAGTACCGTGGTGACAGTGACTGACTGTACTGTACTGTAGACTGTACTGTACAGTGCAGTACAGTACTGTACAGTCCAATAAAGTGTACTGTACAGTACTGTATTTTACTGTACATTGTGCATGAGCGTACAGTTTACAGTACTTTACATTGTACATGAGCGTTACCCTGTGTACAGTACAGTGTACAGTACTTTACATTGTGCACAAGCGTACTGTACATTGTACAGTATACAGTACAGTACTGTACAGTACAGTACACATTTGTTACAAGCTGTTGTACTGTACAGTACAGTACTGTACAATACAACTTGGTCTGGTACTGGATCAAAGTGAGTGAGTACAGTACTGTACACTGTACAGTACTGTAGTTGTCAGCCAATCCCTACAAGAATTTTCTCTTTAAAAATAAAGTCACTGAGTAGCACAGTTAAACAGTTAGCATCTGGCTAGCAAATAATGATGAAATCCAAGCAGTGACATACTGCGCTGGTGATTGTTTGGTAAGGTCTGTACCAGAGATTTTCATTTATACCTACTGTATTTAGTATACTAAATCTAGTACAGCACCAGCAAGGACTACAAATATGACGGGAAGAAGTCCTGACACTGGCCATAGTCACCATACTGTACACTGTACAGTACACTGTACTGTACGTACTGTACTGTGGGCTGAAACATACTGTACTGTAGGCTGAAACATACAGTACTGTACGTACTGCAGTACTGAAGCTACTGTACTGTACTGTGCAGTACTGTATACAGTACAAGAGCATAGTGAGGCTGAAGGATACAGTACTGTACTGTACATAGCATATACACTCATTGTACAGTAAGGCTGAAGCGATTACTGTGGAATAATATTCTGCGCCTTACGTCACATTAAGTCAAGTCAAGCATAGTGGTCATCCTGACATTTTGCTCAATTTTACCTTGGTCTTCAAGTCTCTTTTCCTATCTATGACACAAGGAATCCACCATAATTGATTATAGGACTTTCAAGCCGACATGGGCAATCAATTGTCTAGTTTGGCACCATCCCAGATACTTTCTGTCGATCACTATCTATCCGACCTACCGCAATATCATTATGAAAAAAGGTAACATTAGACAAATCGCAATGGTGGTCATTCTTGATGGCTATACAGTAATCTCGACTGACTAATAGTACAAGCTAGACAAACAGGGCTAAAATAGATTACTTCTGTGAATAAATCGGATGCAATCAATAGCAAGTGCCAGTCAAGTGTTGTATTGATATAAATCTATAAAATAGAAGTTAGAAATTGTCTGATAGAGGTAATCTTCAGCTAGGTATTCTATCCGTCTACTCATTGATTTAGTCAAAAACAGATTCCGAAGCCACTTTGGTATCGTCTACTACGAGTATATCAATGTTATATATATATATATATATATATATACTGTAGTTATAAAAGACGAATAACACGATCTACTGTACAACTTGGTATCACATTCGTTCTGTATACTTAAATACAATTGAACATAAAGCTTTAGTTTAATGTCCAGTAACGTCTTAATTTCAAGAAATACCCGTCTGAATACGTTGATGTAATTGAGACATTCGCTTTTATCGACGTGGTATGTCTTAAAATCAGTAGGATTGGAAACTTGTATTTATCAATAGCTAAGAATTAGACAGTAAGAATAACTGATATTAACATTGGTGTGTTATACCGTATCTAGTTTTGCTTGACTAATTCTACTGCTATTTTGATATACAATCAACTACAGTGTTAGAGTGTATCAGTGTTACTGTCTTTACTTTCGTTGTTGTGACTCAAATCAAACTACAAATTGTACTATTTCTTCATAATCACTCGTATATTGACAGTAACCAATCTGAAATTGTACAAGTATGTAATGATCCTTGCTCTTAATTACGGCTTATCGCAATATCACGTGCAGCATTGCTGATTTGATTGCCGTACAATTCCGATACTCCTCTAATGAATGAATATAGTCGTAAAGCATGGTATACCTACTGCATAATTATCGCTTACTAAAATACGCAACAGCAGAAGTGATTCTGTATCTGTTACATTGATCAGATATCCCTTATTAAAATAATATATTAGAGAAGTACGATGCATTCATTTACAGATTATGTTGTATGTATTGGATACAGTATCTATGGCTGTAAAATAAACCCAAGTTTTATCGACATTTAAAATAACTAAACTGTTGTATGTTTTTGGATTTACTTGACTTTTACTTATAGCTTGGGCAGCACTAGATTCTTCAAGGTGGCTAAAGCAAGATATAAGTAAGTGGGCTACATTCCTGCATCCCTCTTTAAACGGCTAACGTTATGACTGTATACAAGTGTAGAATACTGCACATAGATAGCTTATTTGTATAGCTTGACTCAGAAGATGATCCATAGGATAATTTTAAACATAAACCATTAGTATATTTCGTTATTATAATATCGCTATGTGTAACGTTAAATATACATGTAATACCAAGTTCGATTTTTTTAATTTGATTTCAATCTAGTTTTTGTCACTAACTATATTAGAGCTAGTATTACTTGAGTAGAGTATGATGTTATGCCAATGTAAGACTGTTTCCAAGATACCTAATTACTTAAGTTAGGCTTGTTATTCCATGTGGAAAGTTAATGATAATCTTTGACAATGAAGCTAATTCCCCGAAAGATAATTAGAGCTATGTTAAATATTGATAAAATTTATTCGCCTCGATGACATATCGAGATATCTTGGAAATTAACTGATACTGAGCTAGGTATGTATGATTTTATTATTGCGACTATATATCAGTAATAGCTCTTTTCATTTTATAAACAAAGGGGTGGCCTCACGGTAGTAAAAGTCTTTGCTTTACCGGATGCTCAACTACCCATGAAGTTTTTTCAAGATAAAGTGCACGGTATGAATGAGTAATATCACTTGATGCTATATTTCAAATTAGACCAGTCGTGAAGCAACTTTCTCATATCGTATGATAGAATAAGTATTAAAACTGTTTCGTGATCTAATCTGACTGCTATTATGCAAGATGATAAATACATTTTGCATTAAGTAATAATATATTTACTATGGAAACTACCTTATAGAAACTCGAGGAAAATTAAATGGTTGTGCTAGTCTCTTGCCGTTCCAACGAACTATGGTAAATTGAAAAATTTGTTTACTTATAATTGTAGAATATCTGTTTCCGATTTCGTATGATAATATTATGGTTCACATTAGACCTGGATTTTATTTATAATCTTTTTTTAGATATCAGACAGAGCTGCATTCCTGATCAGGCAATATATGAAATATACGCTTTACGATAGAATAAGGTATACCAAAATGCGAAATTTTAAATAGTAAAGTTTCTTAATTTACTTATTCGCACCCTTATCGTTATCTCAGTACCAGGCCATTCTTAAGCGATATTGAAAAGAAATGGATAGCTTTTCAACTGTTAACAGCAGTTAAACAAATGCACAGCAGGAATGTAAGCCAATTTATGTTCAATTACCCTATAACTCATATTTTGTTAAATACAGTTTTAAATAGGTGTTGTTATCATCCATTCAGATAACTTTAATTTTAAAATCTTACCACTCAGATTCAGCATGGTGACATCAAAACTGAAAATGTTATGGTTACTAGTTGGAATTGGTACTAACGCAAAATAAAACCTTCATTATTATTACTAGTTGTCTGCAAAGTAAGTACTTAGGTATACAAGCTTAACAATCTTGGTTTACTTGTTGTAGGGTTATGCTAACTGATTTTGCCTGTTATAAGCCAGTATATCTCCCCGAGGTAAGCTACTAGTAAATAGTAAATTTACTTTATATCCATTATTTATATCGACATTTTAAAGTCTTACACACTTTTTCTGCCTCTTAGGATAATCCTGCAGACTTTTCATACTTTTTCGATACTTCAAGAAGAAGAAGTTGCTACATCGCATGTGAAAGATTTCTGGACAGCACTTTATTTGCTAGATTAGCAGAAAATTCACAATCTGCTGGTACGGAAGCTGCCAGCAAGGCAAACACAGTGACGGAGACCATGGATTATAATAAACTAACAGCTGCTATGGACATCTTTTCCGTTGGGTAAGTAAATTTATAATTCAACGGTTATAAAATTTTTTTAAAGAAATTTATACATCATATTTTATATATCATAACATTAACTCCAACAGAAGAAATTATAACTAATTGTATGGCAATTTCTTTCAATAGCTGTGTTTTAGCTGAATTGTTCACGGAAGGTCATCAGTTATTCGATCTATCTCAATTACTAGCATACAGGCAGGGTGAATGTTTACCAGAAGATGTCTTATCCAAAATAGACGATAGATCGATTCAGGTATAATATTGTTACATAAAGACGGTTAGACACTGATACGCGTATACCACCTTTATATTTTATTGTTATGATGACGATATGTTGGTATACATAATGAGATAATATACTACATTTATAAATTAATATTTCAGGAACTGATATTACATATGATCCAGAAAGATCCCATGAAGCGTTACTCTGCTGAGGAGTATCTAAATAAATGGAGAGGTCTATCATCAGTTCAATTATAATTATCAATAAAACTGAGAAAATTTGCTATTGGAACAAGGTTTAACATGCTAAAAATGTTTTTTAGGTCATTCCTTTCCGGATGTATTTTATGATTTTCTGTATTATTATATGGAATCCTATGGGCAAAGACCTTTCCTAACTTCCGACGAAAAAATTGCAAAGTATGTTCTCGCTTGTATGTATCATGTACTTGCAAACAATATGGTAAAAATATTATTATACGATGTTACCTATAGGCTTAAGGAGGATATGAATCGCATAATTAAAGAGCTAACTTCCACGGATAATTATATTAATGGTTTGTCCGATCGTTGCTATGACGTAACATAATTAATATATGTACTCTGATCCAGATCCAGTAACGATATTATGACATTTCATTCCCGACAGAATTTTTAGTACTCATTCTTCCTCTACTAACATCCTGTATCCGAGATTTGCAGGTAATATACTGCTGCTAGAAGTATATTGTAAGGATTCGATTGAAAATCTAAATGCTACTATGATTTATGACTCTCTGTTAGTATTTAAATTCAAAACTGAATGCTATCGAAATGATTCAACTCCTGGCCCAATATGTATCTGATGAAGTAGTACTGGATCGGCTAGTTCCATATCTGGTAGCGTAATTCATGCTGTAACATTAACCTTGAATTGTAGAATAAATAATAATTTTAAGTAACATAGAATATAATGATCTTTACTTTCAGGTGGAGTTGCTTACCGATTCACAGCCACGAGCTAAAGCCGCCGCTATTAGAACTCTTACTAAATGCTTAAGCAATGTTAAATATGTCCCTAAAAGGTAATTTTTAATAATTCGTTAGACTAAAGATTTATATTAATCTAAATTCAAATTCTATCTTTGATATTATTTTTAGTGATGTTAATATTTTCTTGGAATATATTTTACACAGCCTGGTAAGTGTTCCGATATTGATCTGTAAATCGTCTACCATACATGTATAAATGAAATTTACCTTGTAGGCTACGAACGACAAAGATGTATTTGTAAGAGTTGCTTACGCAGAAAATATCGCCAAATTAGCGGAAACTGCTCTCAGGTAGTGGTGATTGAATTGCCCAAAAGTTTATGGGGCACTCACTAACTTTACATTGATTTTATTCTTCACTTCTAGATTCCTAGAAGTTTCTCATATGAAGCAGTATTCTGACGAAAGCATCTTTGTGAAAGACTCTACCTTAAACTTTCAGGTTGATATAGTTACAGCAGTAAATGCTTATGTGATAAAATTTCTTGCAAATACGCTATGTTGTAAGTAGGCTAAGTTGGATAAAATCTATTTGATTTTATTAGACAAGCTACGATATCGAGTTGCAAGCACTTCAGGACTTAATCCAAAAGAAAACGGTTCTGTTGTTAAGTGACACTGTAAGAGAAGCATGCTTAGCTAGATGTCCATACGGTTCTATATATAGTTAAAATAATACGCAAGCGAATTAACGTTAGTTTCATCGGTTAATATTGTCTACGATAGGAAAATGTTGTCAAAAGAGCAATTCTCGAAAATGGCATTTCAAAATTGTGTTTATTTTTCGGAAGACAGAAAGGTCTATAAGCTCACTCTATTAAACGGCCGATTTCTGTATTAACCTAAATTGACTACATATAATTACTTGCTTTTCTCTTTATCAGCAAGCGATGTTTTATTGTCCCATATGATAACGTTTCTGAACGACAAGGTAATGTTCATTTGCAAAGCACCGTTGTATTTTTAAATTAATCAATTATAATTTCCTATTAGTCGGATTGGCAGATGCGAGGAACATTTTACGATAGCATAATTGGTGTCGCGGGGTATGTAGGCTGGCAAAGTCTTTCCATGCTAAGACCATTACTCCAACAGGTATTGTCATGATTGCTATCGATGTACTAACATATGGCTAAATGTAACGCTGCACTATATAACGGGGTTCCAATTGTAGGGGCTTAGTGATCCTGAGGAATTCGTGATATGCAAGGCACTTGAAGCATTGACAGATGTAGTCAATTTAAGTAGGGATTAACACATGATTTAAAAGATAAATTTTATTGTCGCTAGTTGTCTCATGCTATTTTGTTCATGATCGGTTACAGGGCTACTTGATGGTAATGTAGTAGATGATGTAACCAAAGAAGTAATTCCTTTTCTGTATCATCCTGTAAGTGTGAATGAAGATACCGAATTAATTAACTACATGCCGTTTTATCAACTGCACAATGCTTTTTATATAATTCATTGCTAAATCGTAACGAATTTCTTAATTAAACATTGTACATGTAGAATAATTGGATTCGCCACCGCGTGGTCGGTTATATTTTGGCACTAGCGAAAATTTATAGCTTATCTGACTTGCATTGTAAACTCATACCACTTTTGCAACCTTATCTTAAAAGCCCAATTATTCAAATAGATGATGAGGCAAGCATTCTGGCAGAAACAGCTGTTATGCTTTTCGGATGTAATATAAGCAAGCTCCTTTTGTGTGCCCTTATTAGGTCATTTTGTTAAGTCTACTTAAAGCACCGCTGAATAGACCTGTTTATGATTATGTTATTAAATTGGCTACCATTAATTCTATTATTGAAAGGTATATATTATGACAGCCATTAATGCTATACAATTACGATTCTTGTACGAATGGGGTGGTAATACTACTAAATGTGCCTTAACTTTACAGTTTAGAAAAGCGGAAAGGAGATCCTAATCGAATTGCAAATTATGATGGAGATACGATGCAATCTGTAAATTAATCATAAATGGAGTAGTTAATTATGCCAACGTTGTAAAAGATCTTTTATCTGTCTAATGCTTTAGATGTTTCGAAAGCTTGTATCTTTAGGCTTTAAGGTGGAAGATGAAGAAAAATTATTGGTAAGCCATTTTCTATTAGATTGTTGTTATTAAGGGCGCTCCAATTTATGGATTACTCTTTGATTGTTTAACAGAACAAAAGTTAAATATTTTCCACTTTATTTTTAGTGTATGAAGGAAATCTTGCTACGAATCCATCATGCAAAATCGAGGTAGGTATAGATATCTACCTCTTGTTATTTAAGTAAGATAACGTTCATATTTGCTGTTGAATAGCATGGATACCTCACATACCAGTGAATATGGATCACCAGAACATCTAGAATTAATCGCTTTAACTAAAACGAAATCTCGCTCTTTAAATTTGTCACCGGCTGTGGAAATTTCGAATGAGGATTCAAAGTAATGATATACTTCTTTATCCCTATGTATATTATATGTTTATATTACGTCTTTAATATTTGTAATCTTTCGTACAAGGAAGAGCAGTCGTCGCAAGTCGTCAGCAGATGTTGGAAATTCTAATACTATGGTATAATTTCTATTAGTGATATCGCTATGAGCGTGTACGTATTCACACTGATGATGGTTAAAATAAAATTAATTATTACAGAATGCTGAATGGAAGCATATGTTTGGATCTACTCAGAAGATTGATCATCTACCTTCTAAAAAGAATTCCAGTAAATCGCTATTGAGTAATTTACCAAGTGAACAGATTAAATCTTCCTCCGATAGAAAAGGCAGTATTAGTGAAAAGCAATCCCAACTGGTTAACAGCATAATCATTGCTTTTTTACTTTATAAAGCTATAATTTAACTTCTAATCAGTTCTTCTTAATAAATTAGCGTTCTGCGAAGAATTCTACCTCGTCTTTAGCTGCGTAAGTCGATATTTAGAATATTTTCTTATACTGAGAGTAGCACTTGCCTCACTATTCTTTACTATGCAGCGACCGCGGATTGCAAAAGTATGGATCAAAAAAAGGTTATAATCTGTATAGCCCTAAAGTAGCATTAGATACTAGAGCAACTAGTTGTTTCGAAAATTGATTGTACGGAAACCTCTGATATGTTGTTAAATTACATGGAAAAATTAGGTATAAATACTTGCAAAGCCGAAGTTTCTCAACTTTTTATGAAAAAAATTGAAAGACACGCTCTTGGTAGGAAATATTATGGCTTTATTGGCGTTTTGAACCTCTTAGTAATGTTATATTGTCTATACTGTTATAGGACTAAAAGCTAAACAAGTTGGAATCGTAGATTGGGAGAAAGTACCAACTCCAGCGGGGTAACATTCTACTATGATATGTGGCTGCCCTATTTTGTACAATTTTTTACTGATACCGGTGGATCATTTATGCTTATTTGCTACGTCTTGTGTCTTGACTACAGATGGAAGCCAAAGGGAGAGTTGATAGCCCATATCCGAGAACATCGCGGAGCTATTACAAAGTATTATAGTTGATATTGTCTATTTTTATTTGGTTGTTATGTAAGCTAAAGTATCGATTTCATGTTGCAGAATTGCAACATCGGAAGATTCTAAATTGTTTGCGTCTGGTTCGAGCGACGGCACCGTAAAGCTATGGGAAGCAAAACGGATGGAGGGTCGGACTACTATGTTAAAAGCTAATGTAACGTATGCTTTTCAAGGTAAGAAGATATTGAAAGCCCTAAGCTGAACTCTAACGCAATCGTATTGATGCTATTGTTAGTAAATAATCATTAACATGATTCATGCTCACAGGTTCGCGTGTTACTAGTGTGGAATTTTGCCAGCAATCGTCAGCGCTGGCGTGTGCAACTGATAATGGAGTGCTTAGGATTGTTAGGTATTATTTTCTAGAGATAATCTTTGTAAGTCTAATGCCCACTTAAGTCTTCTAAAGATATTCTTCTACGATAGACTTGGAGAAGGCTCAACACAACCAACTGTAACGAATACCATTACACTGGATCCTAAAGAGGGTTCCATCATAGACTTGCAATATTTCGATTCGGGTAATTGCAACGACTAGTAAATGTATCTAAAACATTCATCATAAATTAAGCACATATACCACCGTAATGGCATAGTATTATTAGGCAAGAAGTACAGTAATATTAATAAATTTTGCCTTCATTTTAAAATTAAAATAGGTTCTCAAGCTGTCCTTTCCTACGTTACTACCCACGGCTGCATTTGTGGTTGGGACTCGAGAATGCCTCATCGAATGGCATGGAAGCTACAGAATGATCTTAAAAATGGTGCCTATTTTTCATGCTTAAGACGTTAAGAAAGCATAAATAACTTACTTGATCCGTAATTTTTATCATTTCATTATGTTTATAATTAGGATTGTCGACTGCGTATACTATTGACAGGCTCCAATGCTGGCTAGCGGTTGGATCTAGTACTGGTGCTCATGTTTGTTGGGATTTAAGATTTCAAATACCCATCGCTACTATAAAGCACCCATCAGGCACGAAATTATTTTATGGCCTTTCAAAACTCGATAATTAATTTTAAATATTATAATATCATTCTTTGTGTTGCAGGTGCGTGTGTGAAATGTTTAACTCCGAATCCTAAGGAGCAGTCATGGGTAGTATCTTCGATGCAGGGAAATAACGAAGTTTCCATGTGGGATGTCGAAACAGGTGCCAGAAGAAAGATGCTGTGGGCTAGTTCCGCTCCTCCGATGTCAACTACGCAGGTATTATCTCAGATTCGGAAATATGTATGAGATATGCTATGATAGAAAGTATGTTTTCTAAATGGTTGAACACTTTACAGAGTTCACCTGAAAGCGTATTAGCTGTATACCCTGGACCTCCTGATGACCGCTTTATTTTAACCGCTGGTACTGATCGCCGAATTAGATATTGGGATACTGAAAGTTGTGGATCATCCTATGTTGTGGTTGGCTCAGCAACAGAAACAACTGATTCATCAGAGTTTCAATATCGGTTGGTAGTACCTTTCTAACATTACTATGTTGCTGTATCCTTATGTTATTATGTGGACCGACTATATACTTGTAAATGCAAGCATAAAACTGCATCTGTAATTATTTATTATCTGTATTTATAAATAGAAGCCGTGCAATCGATGGTACTGAAGTAATTATCGAAAAGGAGATTAAGCGAAAAGAAAACACTCAAGAAGATGCGCCACGCCGCGGTCCGGAGGCCCCATTTATTGGGCATCACGATACTATCAATCAACTGACCGTAGTGAAAGGTCTTCAAGGACTAATGATTAGTGGGGCTCAAGATGGCGTAATCAAAGTTTGGGTGTAAAATATCTTGCTTATAAGTATTGATAATATTGTGAGAGCTAGTGGCAAAATTTATAACAAAGAAAGCTTTCCTTATATTAATAACCTCAAAGTAAAGTAATAATAGTAAAAAAACCTAATGAAGAATTTTCCTATATTTCTTGTACAGTGTGCATGACCGTCAATCAGCTGTTATAAGTTATATAGTATTTCAGCACGATAGCATACTAAGCAGTAGAGTGCAGGAATTGGGTATTTCTGCTCAATTTTAATAAGATGGATTGGCCTTGGTCATGAACTGATTGTGATTGATATTGTCTTAACATATTTTGGATTTGTAGCATAAAGTCTACTATTGTTTTATACTTCCCACATAAATTATGTCGAAATGATACTCCAATGCAGAAATCTTCCTTCAGCTGAGTTCAGCATGTGCTAGAATTAAATCAGTTAGTTATCGAATCTGCTATATCTTTCGGAAGCGAATTAGAAACAGTTTTATTATTTATATTGAAAAATACTATAATTATAACTGTAACTGCTTGCTTTTAGCGTAACGATTTTCATGATAAAACTTCAAGAATGAAAATAAAGGTTTATATGATTCTCTATCAGCACAATCGCATCATTTACGACGTGTGATTCGTAGTTTAATGTAATCAAGTCGAATTGAATCTATTTTATGTCAGAGAATGTTCAAATTTCGACTCCATTATATCTGTATTTGACTTTTAGTACATGCATGAACATACTTTTTCGTAATTCAAGGTGGTAAATGCCATCAAAAGGAGTCGACTACTTTATAGACCAGCGATCATAGAATCACTTTTTATCGTGTAAGCAAGTTAGATCGAATTGATTCTGTTTTAGTAAATGAACTGTATTCGCTTGATCGTTAGTAAGATTACCCCTATCCGGAATTATAGATGCGTTAAGGAAAATATTATCCTGGTTTCCTGTCGCATGGTCTTGCGTAACCCTTGGATTATATCTGGTAATAATTTGCAAAACGTTATCATATGAATCTCCGTCAAATTTCTGTAAGATAGATGATTGTAAACCATTACTTAGCAAACTGCTAGTGCTAGTTAAAAGTGAGTTAGGTGATAAAGATGCTTTCTATACTCACTTCAGCAATATACTTCCGGTCTTTTACTTTAAATCTAAAATTGATAGCCCTCCCTCCACTTTTGGATAGATTGTGATATCTTTGCACAGACAACACAATAGTTTGATTTTGAGATTCACTCAGCCTAAAAATAAAGGTTCCAGGAATATTTCTTTCCGTAAAGTAATTCAACGTGGTTTTCCTATAATTCCAAAAAATAGCTTCATTATGATAGGCAAATAATTATAACTGGAATAACTCTTATAAAATTTATACATATAAAGTACGGTTAGAAGGTTTGATTGATTAGAAAAATATTGATACCAGCTGCAATGGCTATCTGAATTAGTGTCTTAGAACATTGTCACAACAATTTAAAGCAAATTGCTAAATGTTACTCTAAATTACAAGTATGTAAAACTAACCACGACCAATTCGGTTGAACCCATGGCAATGTTAAATCAAACTTAAAAAATACCCTGAAAATAAATTGGCTTTAGTAATCGTAATTTGATTTCATGAATCAAAATAATTTCTCATCCAATATGAGGTATCTTACGCGCTACTTGACGTATCAGTTTCGGCCAAGGAATCAACCGAAGGATTTAACAATCCTGCTACTGCTTTTACCTAAGTTAAGAAAACAGGATAATATCAAAATATAATCCTGCAGGTAGGAAAGCTACTTCACCATGATAAATTGACGTATGAGTATCTACATAAAAATAATAAATCCAACAGCCACACTCACAATTATGAGCATGTGAAGAGATTATCTAATCTATCATTCAACAACATACTGAATAAGAATGATACCTTGCTAGTTATTATTATTAAATTTTACCATGCTTACCGGTGGAGAGTATTTGTTTCGTGACATATTCAGCAGTTTGGGATGTAAATAATCTTCTTCCTTATCTAGTGAAGCATAATGTATCCTATAATCTCTTTCTTCCAACAGCGGTAACGATAAACACATCATAGGCTGTAATGGCTATGAAAAAAATCTATGCCTTAGCTAAATTACCTATTGCGTACATTATTATTGAAGAAGAACTTTACGTTTTGTCATTCGAATGAAATTTAATCAGACTTGGCAATATTAATCTATGATTGAATTATAGTAATAAAGTAACTTTCTGCGATGTAATAACAAAAGTTAAGCACACCAGATCATATTTAATTCATAAATTCTATAATTTAAAGGTACTTGATCTCATCACATGATAATGATTCATAAGACTTAATACATTTAATTCAAGATTTTATCATTGCTACGAAATTTCAATTCATTTTACCACGTTAAAAGATTGAGCCAGTGCTATCTGGAATAACAGTATCTAAAATTGAAGATATTAAAAAAATCGAAATATCAATATTACACTTCCTTATCATATGTATACGGTAATCATATATCATTAGCTTGATACAAACGTAATAAAAATAAAATTAAAAAGCGGTTTCATTGGAATAACATAGTTTCTTACATTTATACTTTTATCAGTATGGACGGCTGCAATTTTGTGCGATTTAGCAGACTCATCAAAGAAACGGAGGTATATCGTATTGCAAACGACATAAGTGGTGAAGCGTTGGTTGGGAATTTGAAGCAATACCTCAATGCGTACCTAAACTCGTGTTATAAGCATGATTTGTTAGTTATGATATTAACAAAGTACCGCAGTATATAGCCCTAATAAAACGGAATATAGTATTATTCGCAGTTTTTCCGCCAAATGCTTACCAAATTGACAATTTTTAAGAAATTTAATGATACTATAATCAAAATCGGCAATAATTGAGTTCCCTTTGCAGGTAGAGCATCCTATCGAAAAGATATTATTCTATTTTAGTATTATCGGTTTCAACTATTAGAATATTGTTAAAAGCAATGCTAGTACTCATACAGCTAACCAGGTAGATTTGACGTAAATCTTGTTCATTAATGGAGAATCTTTCGCAGGATACCAAACAATCGGTTAACTAAGATGTTTACAGCAAAGAGTAAATATAGTAAAGCATATTGAAACGATTATTAAAATACGTTGCAGAATTGAATCCCCTAGATTGGAGAAAGTACGGTACAAGCTTATAGAGCAGAAGAGAATGTTACTGGGGAGAATGCTACCGGAATCGGCGATTATGAGATGGTACTCTTGAATTAAATAAAATCTGTTTTGACATCTTAAAGTAAAATATGCGCGCATGACATGTAGCTGTAGCATACTACAACATGTAAGTTGGTATGTAGAACACTTAGATATGAATAAGACTGAAATATATGTGCATCATATCATCTCAACAATTTTTATTCTTATTTATAATTACAGTATCTCGATGTATTTTAAGCTCCGTCATATCGTCTAATAATTTATAAAATCTGTTACTTGAAATGAAAGAGACAATATCGTCTTCGATATCATCGGATATAATTATCGGTCACAAGCTTTTTGTTGTTTCATTCCAAGTTTTATAATCCAGTTTCATAGCAGTGTTAGCAATGATTCACATATACTAGCTATTAGAATTTGTTAGAAGGAGCAAAACGAATCTCCGTAAATGCAATTTGAATATTTAGGACTGAAAATAGCGCAATCAAACAAAAAGTGGATCTGAAAGGTGTTTATGGCAGTGTTTCCGAAGATTGACTTATTTCGTTTAAGTAAAGAATACTCGGAAATTTAACGAAAATTTTCATTTATGTTTTGATTTACAATTTCATTCATTGTAACTAAAAATTTGTTGGTGCCAAGATCTGCCTATATTTCTAAAAGAAATACTTACGTAAAATCCACCTATCGTATGTCTGTGGAGATCGATATCTTCTGACGCTTTTTCTCTTAATTCTGAATCCATTTTGTTACAGGTTTTGATCAGCTAATTTACTACTTTATTCCTCTATCTTTGCGTGATAAAAAACATTCTATGAGCTGCTGATGTTTACATAATAGCGGGAATGTATTATTATGGTTAAAATTGCCAGAAAAAATTATTTGAAAGAGCGTAAACATGTTTATGTAAATCAAATCCAATTACGAAGGTGTCGAGGAGAGTTCTAGTAATACGGCACGACATATAAACGGATATAGCATAACTTTTACTAGCTCTCTCCGTAATTATAAGAGATATAAACCCAGGTATTATTATGGATGAATAAGGATGTGTTTAAGGGTATGAACATGATCAACTTAATTTTTACTAGGTGTGTAGACTTATATTCAATTCATTTTGTAACCCCAATATTTAAAAGTTAGAAATATATGACAAAAGCAATAAGAATATAGACCAACATTCGTATTCTTCAAACTAAAGACTTACGAAATTTGAAATTTTATTGAATTGCTGGAACACAATAATGAAATTTCTTTTACTAGGAAGTAGCAATTTTGTTTTATATTGTCATAAAATCTTTGTAGTAAAGGATAAATTGAATCAAAATTTATATCATAGAATAGATAAATAAAGAACTTAGTCTTAATCGATAAAGTCAATGCTGCCTTTCTTACAGATGTTTAGCACGGACTGATACATTACCAAGAAATGGAAACTAGCAAAATTATGCCAATTCTTTGATCTACTAACTGTTGTATCGTATTCGAAGTTATTGGTAAATGTTTAAATAGATTACAGAGATGAGTGCCGATTTTTAGTAATTGCTATTTTAATCGGCTGATTTCTTTACGCTAGTTTTACTGTAGTTTGAATGTATGATCGCTTACAAGATGAGATACGGAAATCTTAAAACTTTATGGTCTTAATCTATCTGTTCTGTGCCATACTGTATCGCTTATTCTAGATCTCTATAAATATTTCCATATAAAATGAAATATGATAACATTGAGATTTCTGATCTTAATCAATTAATTTACTCTACATCATATTGGTCATGCTACTATCATGTAGTTATTCCTACATTTTCATCAATAACAATCAATGAAATCATGTTTTAGCAGACATATGCTATAAGAAATTGAATAAATGTCTTTAAATGAACACATTTCTGATGATCTTGGACTCGTATACAAGCATGTATAAAATACATTTCAGGATATCATAGCTTTTACTCGCTAGACATTGATCTTGTTAGCTTCTTAATTATGTTATGATTTTTGAAGATTTGCTGTTAAAATCATAAATTCGATGCATTAAGATTGAAATAAAATTTAAACAAATAGTTAAGGGAATTACATCGTGCAAGCCTTATACTGTAATATAATTTATGTTAGCTTTCAAATTCTACTGATATTAAATTTTTTATCAGAAACGGCTATTTCGATATAGGCAATTGAAGACTTATCAGAACCGAAACAGGGCCATTTTTGACTTTAACAAACAACAAAAATATGCCCTTGTAAAGTTTACTGCTAAAGAGTGATACCAAGAGTAATTATAAACAATAAACATTAGTTAGTAATAAATATTTTTGACCTACAGGAAATAACACTGAAATCCCCAGATTTGCATACTTACATTTGCTCTTAATATAAGGTGCCACGAATGAAGAAATCACGGCTTTTTTTCTGGAAAGCCAAGAAGGAAGGATGATAATTCCTACTTTAAAGCCAGAGCTACCAATCTACAGGCAAATTTGTAGGATCTATGCGCAGTCTTTTCGGTAATCAGATACTCCATTAAAGTATCTGAAAGACTCTACTCCCTTCCCTGTAGATATACTGTAATACTAGGCTAATAGCTTAAGAAACCAATGAGTAATGTCCGAAAAGATCTGTCTTTCAAATTGGATCGAGCTAAAATAGCTACAGATGCCTTTAAATCGTCTACGTGTAAATTGCGCAAATTTCAACGCCAATATCTTCATGCCAATAAATTATCATCTAATATTTTAGTTGACGAAGTCTAGAAAGTGTACGGATAATAACAGATTTGTCAACTATCGCCAAGGTAGAAGTTCATTCGCTGATTTGTGGAGCTCATCCATGACGCATGGGTTTAAATCTTTTTAAGCCCATTTTACAGCCTCTGATTTCCTTTATTGTGTTCTGTCTGTAGAATCAAATACCCATAATTTTAGCAAACTTCGACGATAAATTTTGATTTCATTTTTAACTTGATCCTTATATACGTGTAAGTAACCTGTTACTGTCTATGGGATTTATAAAGCGTAAATTTTTTTATGTGCATGAACTTGAAATCGAATTCAAGTATCAACCACTGTTTTCAAATTGGAGTAACCCATCTATAACTAAAGTGAAAGTAATAACTTTCGGCCGACTTTGACGAATCTCAGACGTCATAGCGGAAAGTAGCTTTCTTGAGGAGCTCTTATTCCTCTAAAATGGTATTGAAAAGGATCATTTGGATTAAAATGAGGTTTAAGTTAATTTGTGCGATGATGCCCAAAATATCAAGGTCCGCCTAAATTAGGGTAAAGATCCTTTTTCTCTTTGGACGAAAAACCTCAACTGGATTGAGTATTCAACTCATGCTTGTGTGTATCTTGCAATCTTGGCCAGAAGTTAATGAGCTGAATCTTGGTATGGATTAAAAAGATTTTCTTCATCAAAGTTTGATAGAGTTAAAAATTAAATTTTGTTCTACAATACTGCACCAAGCTCCTTATAAATTAAGTCTATAAATCATTGAGTAAAGATTTTAATTACTAATGTTTAGATTTGAAGGCATACAAAACTATTTAGATTAGTCTAAAACTTCATCAGTAATGGATTTGTTGAGGCTTTAGTCATCTATGTCGCCGTTTTTACTATTAAAATAGGCTACTATGACAATTATTTGTGCACAGTTTATTTAGTGTTTCATTCTGCGTTTAAGATTCTTCTAAAGGTGAACCACATTCATATTATCCATCAAGAAATCATCCAAAAAATAAAAACTTTATAGTTTAGGACTTTAATATTAAGCTGAGACACTACGTTTAATTAGTGTTTCATTCTACGCTTAAGTACTGGTAATTAAGATTCACCTTCAGGACTCTCCTAAAGACGAACTACCTTCTCGTTATCCATTAAGAAATTATCCTAAACATAAAATCAGTATAATCTAGGACTTTAATATTAAATTGCAACACTATATTTAAAATTACATAAAAGTCACTCATTTGTTGTCATTTCTATCAAACGAAAATTTTATAACACGGCTATATTATGGAATTTACTTTTCGGAGTAATCATAAAATGCAGTATTGCAACCTCTCATCTAATTTAAAAACTGTTTTATTAGTCAGCAATCTAATGATATTACAAATGCAAGGATATGTACATTAGATTACGAATTCATTGCTAAACAAGTCACCATCGAATTTAATCATTTAAGTATCGAAATAGCCTTATTTCGGTCAAGAAATAAGAGTAAAATATGAGTTATAGATGCAAAAGGCTTATAAAAACACTTCGAAATAGCTAAAGTATTAAAGTACGCCATTTTTTTACTGGAAGAGAGTTAATATATATGACTACACTTATACCACAAGATAATTGACCTCGGAAATGACCCCTAGTAGTTCAAACGACTTATACTCTTATTGATCAGATAGTTCAATTCTGAAGTCGTCTATTTCGTTATCAATCGGTAGCACCAAGATAGTAACACAGAAGTTTAGAGAAACATTTCAAGATTTGGTGTGGTGGCATCGTCTGCAATCGCAAGATCTAATGTATTGCACTAATTTATCCACATTATTTTTTAACGTTGGACATTTTAATTCGACTGTATTCCAAGTATGATCGACAACATGGCAGCATTCACAATGTTGCAAATTTTCTTGCCCGGCTTCTGGCGGATAGCTTTTAGGTATTCTGTAAGAATAGCACTGACCGACACAAATATGATTGGAAATTGTCTAAAAAGGAAATGAATTTAAAAGATCAAAAAATTGTAAAAGTAAAATGAGATGATCTTGAATGACGAATACGTATGATATTAATTTTACAAGCCGATTGCACAATTCTTGAAAATGTATTGCTATCGGTAATTTCTTACAAGAATAATATATATAATATACCCGTCCATAAATGAGTAGGAAACTTACTTTACTTATACATCCTGGATGGCTCAAAACTTGCTCGATCTTAGCAAGTTTACACCAAGCTTTTTGATTTGGTGCTATCGGTAATTGCGAAATACCATAACTATGATGGCTGTTTATGCTATCTTCTACCGAATTGCTAGTCTGATGATCGTAAAGTTCAGCATTAGCAGTATTGGTACTATTTTTGTCTTGGCTGTTGACTTGAACGTTCTCAGTGCTTGCGGTTATGATGGTTATTGTAGCAAGAATGGTTAAGAGATGTAAAAGCCGATTATTCGTCATATTCCATCTACTAGCGAAAATATTAAAACGACGAAAATTAAGTCTACTAAATGAGAAGAAACTGAAACTAATCGATAACAATATAACAGAAAACTTTTAGTTATCGGACGGAAATAATTCAATAAATGGAGCAAAATGATGGAAGTAGGAGTTTCATCATCTACACAGGTGGAAATTACCGTTATATCAATGAAGGTAGAGATGAAATTTTTAAACAAATACTTTTTTTAAGTGTAGTTTACGAGCGCTGCTATGTGGATACTAAATATAAATATGTTTCGACAGTCTAAAAATATATGTATGCTAGTACAACAAAATTAAAATTAGATTTTGTCGTTAAATCATTAGTTTATTTGCCATCCATTCAATTCTACAATTTCAAAGTTAGTCAATGATAAAATAGTAAAGGTATTGATTAATATTAATAAAATTTTTCCAACTGTTTAGAAAGAATAGAACTCGACGTAAGACATGATTGGTCTTGATTAGTAAGCCACTGATCTTCGATTATATTATCATTAATCTACGTATCCATTTCTCAGTCGCAAAGTATTACTATCTACCTCATTTCTTTCTTATTCATAGTTTAAACAGATCCATTTTGTAAAATTTGGAGTCAGAAAAAATGGGTTGTTTCCTGATTGTACACTGTACACTATACAGTATAGATAACTTAAGTTCAATCTATGTTCATTAGATCTGTTAATCTAACTAATGAAAAAAGTTCAAATTGATTAAAAGGTTAAATTTTTATTGTAGTTTAAGTTGAAAATAACCTATCGCAACATATGCTAAATTAAACTGCTTTAATTAATGATTATTAATATATTCATCCCTCCATCGCAATACATTGCTATCCACCTCATTTGCCATTTGATCATAGTTGAAAATTAATCCATTTTTGCAAATTTTGGAGCCTCAAAAAATATGTCTTCCTTATCGTATAGTATAGGTAATTTAAGTTCAATCAGTCTTTGTTAGATCTGCTAATCTAACTAATAAAAATATTAAAATAGATTAGAAGATAAAATTGTTACTATAATATAAGTCGAAAGTAACCTTTCACAATATACGTTAAATTAAACTACTTTACCACGCACTCGTTTAACTTTAAGATAATATTGTTCCTCTTGTGCATTATGCTAATCTAATCAGCTTTTGTCGAAATGATAGATAATTTGTTACAGTTGATTGTTACATTGCGCGGGCATCACTCTACACGCGATAAAGAACTTAAAATTGTTTCGAGAGAAATTTAAGAGTGTTATATTGAGTCGATTATAACCTTATGTATTAGATACATGTGTGACTAAACTTCTTTACAACGCTATATTCCGACTTTAAATAGTTTGTTTCCTCATCACATCGTTTAAAACCAATCAACGTCTGTTAGAAAGATGACGAATTTGATCAAAGTAGCTCGATTACAATATTATGGCTTCACTATCGTCTATCAATGTCATTGATGAAAAATATCAATAGAAGTAGAAGAAGAGTTTGCTAATATAGGTTATGTAATATTGAATCAATCGTAAACTTAGACATACATAAGATTATAAATTTCAGATATGGGTCAAGGTCCAGTAATCAATCATCCATTCTACGATGGACGCGTAGAAGGAAGTTCATGGCGATTGTGTGATCAATTTATTGATTAGGATAATTACTTCCATTCCACTACTGTTTACTCACTATTCCACCGCTATATCTTAAATGGGATAGCAAATCGATTAACGCGGTATTACAACAACATCAATCTGCTTTCTAAATCAATCTATTCTCCATATTGGATACAACTTACATGCTGATTAGGAGGAACTGTTGTAAAATACTGATTCAATCAGTGAGTATAGAAAGGTTTCAATTTTTCAAATCTTCCAATTTTACAAGTAAACATGAAATCTTTCGTTCTTGAATGCTTTATACTGTTCATGCTCAATGTTTCTATAGGCATCCATTCTCTATTGACGTCGAAGCGATTGGACACCTACCGATCCGTCATTATTCTACGTATCCGTCGTCATGTCGATCTATTGTGTTATAGCTAATTCCTGGTTATCCATGAGTCAATTATTGCTTATTTTCTTAGCATTAACTATGATGCAAGCAGGCTTTTGTCTAGGTTAATTTAATAAAAATAATAAAATGCATAATCGTAATCGTCTGTTCTTTGCCGCTGTAATGGCATGATTGATTGTCATTTTTGCCTAAAAAATATGGTTGTGGAAAAGAGTATATTAATCCATTGAGTCAGTCATGCATTCCTGAATTTGAGGATTTCGTAGGCTTAGTCGCATTGACCCATGCAGTGTGCATTAGGGCATCGATGTTATTATACACAGTTTGATCTCTTCATTTATTTTTAATCCATAGTAATGTTAAACATGGATGTAATTATCGAGCAAGAGCATTCTAAGCTCGCTAACAAAATGGTATACGATTCAAAATCTGTTGATGATCAGAAATAGGATACTATTTGATTGAGGATAACATGCTAAGAATCTGTGCATACTTGCGTCTTGTAGAAAACTTTATTGAAGGGCTGGCTATTTGATTAACAGAACACCAGAATGGATCTCTGTTGAGTACGCGTGAATATTACTGGCAGCTTGTTTGAGGCATGTTTGCTATTCGACTTGTGATGAACCACATGATTATGTAGCATAACTGGTTAATAGGCTGGAAGATTAAGCATAGCTTTGTTACAGAATTCGACTAGTAATGAACCTCATATTGATATTGTATCTTTGTTAACTTGCTTGCATATTCTATAAAGCTTCGTTAAGGATTATAATATAATCACAATGTACTCCATGGTAATATTTAGTCCGTCTTCAATGACCATGCTAGTATATATTATACCATCGACTTCTTAACAACAATTTCCCTCTACAAGTCCCGCACCCCTAACTTAGGGTTATTCGTTTTTATAAAATTTTCCGGCCTACCTTTTTCCGCGATTTTTGGTTGTCATAGAAGGTAGCATACAGAGACAAAAAATTAAATAGTTATCAATGAGTAGACCTGATTTTCATTCTCTAAATATTATATCTAGACTGCTTGTATTAGAAGTCAGGCGAAAATCAAGGAGAAAGTGTATCTATGGTATTTCATAATGACTGGAACTACCCTTGTCCTACTGGCTAAGTTATAGATTGTACGATGATAAAGATTTATTTCGGAACATTGTAGCCCTGATTTACATTCTCAAAAATTCGTATCTAGACTGCTTGTATTAAAAGTTAGCCGAAAATTACGGAGAAAAGAGTATCAGCAGCTTTTCATAATAGAAGGAACTACCTCAAGTCTCTACTGGCTAAGTAACAGATCTTACCCTGATCGAGACTTCTTTCGGAGCATGCCATTGGAGCAATAGCACGGCCTGCACTGAAACTCTACCAGTGTTAATGCTTGATTATCCTATTGAGTATTGCTGAAGAACTTCCTTTTGCCTAGCAAAATACGAGTATACAATTAATTTACTGTACATGTTTGGCCGCTGCAGGCATGCTTGTACTGGTACCTTGTATATCTGTAGAGTTTTTTTAATGTTATCAAGAACTTTGCTGAAAAATATGCCGGAAGCGCGTGTAATAAAGTTCAAGCTTAATTTATAGAATTTGTTGAAGGATATATCCTTTCTGATGTGTGATCAATTTTTGTTCACTATCGGCTTCTTCTTTAACTTGTTCCTTCTATAACGAAAAAGCATCCTGAATTAATTAAGGAAGACCAATGCGATTGTTAGTATGCACTCTATTTGATATTTATACCTTCATAGTGATGCGGCTACATAATATCATTCGACTAGCAAAGCATACTTGTACTTCTCCGTTGTGAAATGTACGCTATTAATTTAAACTGTTAACGTATCACTTTTTCATAGATGTTCTCACCGATAGGCTCATATACTGTTATAGAATCTTGTAAAGGATTGATCATTCGGTTTACAAACGAGTACAACATATTGATATTTAATTTGTACTGATAAGTTCGAATAATATCTAGAACTTTGTTAAAAACGATACTATATTATTTGACTGCTAATGGACTGCATAATATTATTCAATGACTGCTAATAATTTATACCTCATGTATGATAAGCGTGGAAATTTTAGTAATGTATGAGATAGGGCTAGAAATGGCGTCGTTCGACTAAAAGTAGAAGCCATATTGAGGAATAGACCGAAGCTACCAAGCAAGACCTAATAATAATTAACCAATCAATTGATTGTTACTACATTCGCAGATTATGTCGCGTTTGCAGAGAAATATACAATTTAGATTAAAAGTATATAACATATTGATCGTCAACCACAGCAACAATTTTTCGTAGAAGCTGCTATCATACAGCGCAACTAGTGTACAACATGTTGTTCTATAAGCTCTGTATGCTCTAGAAATTAGCCTAGCAGGCTTGGTGAGAACTTGCTAATCGAACAGAAACGTAATATTTACTGATATTTAGTCGTCTACGAACATAATTATGGTCAAGTTAGAACACGTACTTATTACAGTAGCGATCTTACTGAGTTAATGTTTTAGGATTAAATCGCCTAAAAGTAAAGTTGTAATGATTTACGTCAATTACACTGGCTATATTATCTTAGTTTATAGGCTGAAATACTAATATGGAGAAAACTATACATTACTGTTTGAATTTTTTCTCATAGTTAAAATATTTCAAACAGGACCAAATGTGTAGCATTATGATCACTCTGAGTTGAATAGACGATATAGGCTAGTATAAAAATTAAAAAGGGGCTAGCTAGTCAAAGTTTTCAGTTTTAGTTAGCTACGTAGAATAACGTATTAATGTACATTTCTCGGATATTTTCAACCGCAACTTTATTAGTAAACATTGTATACTGTACATAAATAGCATATCACCGAACTTTTCGTATGAAAACTAAAATTTACATCAAAATTCAATAACAAGGCCTTACTACAGCAGTAGTTTTATGGTATCCCTAATTTCCCATATTGCATATGTAATACTCGTTCTAGGCTCTACTATAAAAATAAAAATACAAAATAAAATTCAGAGGCATAATACCGAACTTTTTGTATCAAAATCAAAAATTACTCCAAAATTTAATTAAAGTCCTTATTAATAGAGATTTGATGATATCCCGAATTTTCCATCGTGTACTGTACGAATGTACAGTATATTAGCGTACAAGCAGTACTCGTTATAGAGTTTATTATAGTCTAAATTTCCGTAGCTAATCACCGAACATTTTACGTCAAAACCAAAAATTACATCAAAATCAATTATATGTCCTTATTCAACGGCTAGTAGGGAGCTGTTAGAAATCCAGGTATGTGATTACCTTTAAAGTATAAAAGGCATTCTAAAAGTATTGAAATTTGCCTAATAAAGTAGCACAATATAGCCTAGTCCATAGAAGATTAAACTTTATAGTTGCCAATTATAGTAATAGCGCAAACACTGCCTAGTGTCGACAACAAATTTCAGCTTTCGCAGCATCGAATTACAATTGAAGTATTTTTGGCTAACGAACTCAATTGATTTCGAGATCTCAAATTAACCAAATTTATACACCTAAATCCTATTTTAGCAAGTAAATTCTTCATAAATGAAATCAAAATAGTAACCTCCAGGGATTTTATAATCTTATCGACCTTAAATGTATATGCTGTTTATGCTTGTAATTTTACTCCTTGGAGATATTTAGGAACACTTATTATGTAGTCTTTAATTTCTTACTAAATAGACAAGGCGATTAGGTTGACTACTTTTAAGCGTGTTAGCCATATAATCCAATACAGAATAATCGGCTAGGATTTAGCAGGAAGAAGAAAGAAGCTGTTGGACTAATCTAATCTACAAAAATATAAAGTGTAAAGTTCCAATTTGATAGAGCGACTATTTTGGGGGGGTTTGCTTCAACTCCATATTGATAGCGTGAACTTCATTTTGGCTGATTAACAACGCCAACAAGCTCATGAAGATAAACTGTTGGTGATTTTACATGTCTTCTTCTGTTAATTAATTGGTGATTAAGATATTGGTGTCAAGATATTTACTTCATCACTAAACGAATGGACATTTCAAAGTGTAAATTTACCTTCGATGTAGGATCATTTTTTATGTATTAGAAAATATTAAACATGCAAGACATAAACGTTGACTATCTTTTAATTCTCTCAATTTAGGGTATACCTCTTTTTAAAATAGAACGGCGTAAAAGTTTCGATGTTGATTTCTTTGATACTGTCATCAGAGTAAGTAATTTCGGTTAATGACATATTTCCCTTTTACTGAGTATTCTGGCATTGTCATACAGTATATTGATGTTGAATTTTTACAGTTAAAAAAAAATTTAAAATCTGTTATATTAAGTTTAAAATTGAATAGTCATCGAACGTTATGAATCTGAACGATGTACAACTTGACTATTTTAGGATTTAAGATCAAGCAAGAAAACTCCCACAAGCAACGTTAAAATCATATTTCAAGAACCGTTTATGCAAGTTGCATTTAAGAATACAAATGAGGTTAGAATTTACAGTGGATCTATTCGATGAAAAAATTGAAATGTTCTAGTGTTATTAACACGAAGGAGGAGTCTACGAATAAACGCAATTTCGAAATGCTTATATTTAGTCTCTGTTGCCTAAGGTTCTAAAGATTGAAAAAAAATTCATTGTGAAATCTTATCTTCGAAGGGATACTTTGTACCTTCGATTGCGAATCCAGGAAAATGATTTATTCGATGACATTTTGGCTATATTTACAAAGACTAGTTTAGACGTAAGTTTATCCACTTAACTAAATTGATCTCTGGATTTCAAATTATTGGCCTAAGCATTTGGTAATTATTTCCGTTTTTTTTCGATGGAATCTACCACCTCTAGCGTTGCGTGTTTGAGATAATGCTTTACAAATTCTTTCAATTGGTAACTATCATTTTTCATGAAGTTGTATGAAAGTACACTACTTGGTCTATATAACTTTTTTCATCGATTTTCAATTTTTAGCCGGATAGAACATTTTCTCTAGTAAAACAAGCAGAAGAACTTGATAGGAAATTATATTATAGCCAAAAGATGTTAGATTAATGAAATGGTAATTATTGTGTTATAAGAAAGCTCATAATATAAGTGTCCGTTGCGTAAAAATATCAGTTATTACTGTTCCTACAGAAAATTAGACTGGGTATCAGATAGTCGTTCGCTCAATGTGTATAATACTGTAGTATGTCAATACTCTATCAGTTAGAAAGTATAAGGATATCGTTTATTTTCTATTATTACCAAAAACTGATTGTAGCTTATCTCGATATTTTTGATTGGTATAGTGAGAATTTATCACACCACATGCATCGAAGGCAAAATCATGGCAATACGAGCATATATTGGTCTTCCATTACTATATAGAAACGTGCTTTAGTTGAAGTAATTACGGCTAAGATAAAATTGCATCGTAACAATTATATATTAAGCATAACTTCGTTTGCCCGTTGGATCAAGTTGAACTTTTACAAATATCTAGATTTTATGATAGCATCCATAACCAAGGCTATAACCCAGTTAAGTAAGTTTAAGCGTAGTACTTTTTATTTCATGATAATGTAACTAAAATACGCATTGGAGGTCATACGAAGGAAAATGTTGAACAAATATCTTGGCGAAATCGAAAATGATTGATTAAATAGTTACTTCGAAATTTGTATCAACCATCTCTGATTACTCATAATTTTTATGGCGCTAATTTAGGCATATATCAAAGAGTTCTCTAGGTTGAAACTATTACCATAACTAGTTGGCTGTCTTAAATTTCAGTTCGATATTACGACACTTACGATATGCTACAGGTTAAATCTCAGATAGCAAGGATATTGTAAATTGCAAATACTTGAATAAAATTTAGTCCTATAATCACATGTTTGTGTGAGGACAGCGTATCGTACAGAAGTTCAATACCAATATAAAGATAAATTTTCGAAAAACTTTGCAATGTCAAGTGTCCTACACCAATGGTATGGTTAATACGGTTATTCATTAAGCAAGTTTGGCAACTAGTCTGCAAAACTGTATCTTAAGAACGTAGGAAGTTAAAGTGGTTAATACTTAAAAGCAATGATTAGTACAAAATCGTAAGGATTGAATACTAATAGTTGCATCACTTGCAAATAAATCTAATCATCAATGACAGTTTGTTAATAAAGTCTAGGGCAGAAATCAGTTTCATAATTCTAACTCAAAATAGATTAATCAAAAGAGATTTTAGTTCCTCGAAATTCCTGAATAGATCCTTTTTTTGAAGCTGGAGGACCAGACCCTCTAGGCCTTGAGAATCCTGTTACAGTTAGAAATGTTGACTTACGTATATTGTATAAGATAATTTACCTTTTAAAAACGAAATATACATTTAAAAAGTTTTTAAACGAACCTCGCTGTCCGCCTCCACCACGTTGCTGTCCAAAGGATCTATTAAATCCACGTCGTGGTCGACCACCTCCCCCACCTGGGGAAAAATTCGATCTTTGTCCGGCAAAATCTAGGAATATATTTCGTCCATCTATACTTTTGTTCTGCATATTTTTTAGAGCTTTCGAGGTGGCTTCGGAGTCATAAAAATCTATATGCGCAAAACTAGATCGGGTAGAAACAACAATTAATTTTCAAAGCGTTTCTTTCATGTAAAATTAACAATATTATAAAATTCCTGATGACTACAAAACTCACCCACGTGGTTTACCAGTTTCTCTGTCTGTTGCTATTCTAACATTTTTGCAATCTTTAAATAGCTTCTGTAGTGTTTCTTCGGTAGTATTATAAGATAAATTTTTTACAAATAGGCAGGTAGACGGTTCACTGTTGCCACCACCGCCTCCTCTACCTCCGCTCGATGGATTTGAGAAACTACGGCGTTGTTGAGATGGTGTAGTTGGCTTTGCGTTAGCATCATTTATTCTTAGATTTCTTCCATCCAACTCAGATCCATCTAATTTGATAGCATTTTGAGCATCCGCTACAGTCTCAAAATCGGCATAGCCAAATCTATAAGTAACAGTGAATGTTATCAGTACCTGCCAAAATCATTTCCAATTGAAGGTGAACCTTTCATCCCAATTTAAAGGCATGAATCTATGATAAGATAAATAATAGTAATTGTAATTCATTTTTACCCTTTCGAATCCCCAGTATTTCTATCGGTAATAATTCTAACGGAAGCAGGCTCCAAACCGTTACTTGTAAAAAAATTAGTTAAACTGTCTGTATCGGTATCATAAGATATTTTACCAATGAATACAGTTTTTCCGCCTAAATACATATAAAGAAGGTATTAAACAGTTATCAAGTGCCGAATGAATACAACAATATGATGGCAGGACTGCTCATGATATTGATGTTAGCGCGTGAAAATAACCTTCTTCTTCTTCTTCTTCTTTCGAACGCTTGAAGCTCGGAGTAGCATCATTAAATTCTGATTTTCGCTTTTTGGAACCAGAATTATTACCCTTGTCAGCTACTTTTTTACCATTTTCTTTCTCGTTCGTTTGTTCGTTGGAATCTGATTCTGAATCTTCACTATCACTAGAGTCATCGCTGGCGTCTGCTTGGATTTTAGCCTCTTTGCTCTTTACCTCTGCATCACTATCATCTGAATCATCGTCTGAACTGTCATCATTATTAGATTCATCAGAGTCTTCACTTTCACTGTCAGAATCATCGTCACTTTCTTTAGACTTTTCTACAGGGGTATCTTTCGTTGTTGATTCCTCTTCGCTATCGTCTTCGGAATCATCACTGTCTTCTATGTTAGAAATAGTCATTAATAAATTAATAAATCAGTTACGACACCATGTAAGAATCTATAACCAAATAGCTGACCTTCACTCTCGTCATCACTGCTGGCATCCTCACCAACAGGTTGAACATTTGAGTCTGATTCATCGCTACTGTCGTCATCATCATCGCTTGTGCTACTGCTTTTATCGGCTTTTACCTTCGTAGCTACCTTGCTTATTTCCTTGCTACTATCTTCACTCTCGCTATCTGAATCTTCGCTCGACGATTCAGAATCTGTTTCGAAAAATATTAAATTCTGTTAGTTCTATCCCACTCAAGGCAAAGTTGAAGGGGCGTAACGTAAAGGATAATCCTATATATTATTGCGAGATAGTTACCGCTATCGACTTGCATTTTTTCAGCGGCCTCCTCTTCAGAAGAATCTAAGAGAATGGATACATAGTTTGATGATTAGTACCGTAAATATGAGCATTAATTATGAAACAGGCATACAGTACTGTGCATGTTAAAACGATGTCAAATTAAGTAATGTCCAAGAATTTCTATTCGATGCAGGCCGAGGCACCTACCGGAGTTATCGCTGTCAGAAGTATCCGCTACAGGAGTCGGATCAGTAACTTCTTCGACGCTCGAGCTATCTTCTGAGGACTAAAATATTGCAAATAATTACTTTAATCTTGCGTAGACGAAGAATTGGCATTAGCCACAAATAATGCATTAATTTTTAGAAAGTTTTCAGCAACAATGGGGTACATACATCATCGCTGTCGCTGTCCGAGGGAGTAGGAGGGGCCGTTACTTTTGAGCGTTTATTTGCCTTTTTGGGATTACTGGGAAGTGGTACGCAATCATTAATAGGTTGATAAAACTTACACTTTAATTATAAAGAATCTTGCCACTGTACCCATATACTTATGTACACTATACTGTAGTTTAATAACCCGTTACAATACTACTGGCTCCTGACCATCATACACATAACAATTTTAATTCGTCGGATAAGCTAACCTTTTCTTTTCAGGTATTTTAGCAACCTAAAAGCAAATAAAGCGACACGAAAGAAAATTTAGAATTTTTTAGAATTTGTAAATCAATATACAGCGTAAATTTCTACAAAGAATTATTACCTTAGCTGGCTTGACGGCGGGATTAGAATGCTTCTCGGATTCCTTTCTCTTAGTTTTCTTTACATCCGCTTGTTTCGTTTTCTCAGCAGCCTAAATTTACAAAATGTCAGCTCAAATTTTAGGCCGATAGCATACTTTGAACATGTATTGAATTCCTTGATGTAACTTCAATGTAGGGTACAGTAATACTAATAAACGGCGCTCCAGTAGACCGTCAAAATACATTTACCGTGAGTTATCGAGTACTAATAGACTTATTATGTAAATCTTTTTTAACTGTGTAGTCTGTAGTACTTGCAGTAAAATGATTTTGTAGCTTTGAAAATCCCGTAATATGCAACACAGTGTGAGCTAGGACAGCCTACAAGTATACTACTGTAATCGATTACCGCACATACCTTGCCTTTCTTGACGGCTGCCGTTTCACGTTTCTTCGTTTTGTCACTTCCCATACTGTACAACTTTTTGCTCCAATTTTCAAATCTAGTCATTTTTACAGCAATAATAGCACGCTTAGAATGTAGCCATTACAAGAACGGAAGCGATAAATACGATGCATAATACGCATTATACTGTAATTAGTTAACATCGGCAACATCATAGCTAAAGACACTTGTCCGTATTACAGTACAGTACATTATATTATATTACAATCGTTGCAACACTAGCTTGCATGCCAACATTGGAAAATGAATCCAGTTGCAAAGTACTTTGCATTGTGGGCATGCAATGGAGTAAAAATTGGAACGTTTGCAACACAAAATCTTGATCCAGTGAGTCGTATTACAGTAAATGACGAGAGTCAATAGAGTTGCCTGTAGAGTTTAGAGGAGGATTGATTGATAGTTTCGTAGCGAGCGAGGTTTGTGCTAGAAAAGGTTCACCAGCGAGCTCAGTTACGCTCGTCTATTTAGTCATAGCTCAAGCCGGAATTACCAGTCGACAACACATTGATGAAAAGTTTTTCAACTATCATGAATGTATCACTTCTAAGTAGTGCACAATCTATTCACAGTTTGCAGTAGACTAAATCATTATCGTTTATACGGTCTGGTTATCAGTAGATCGCATGGAGATGCCAACGATAAAACCATAGTTACCCGCTAGCAACCCACACTCATCGACCTACTCGAAGTAATTGTACTGCAAGTTACTCAATGCATTGCTAATTTCGAATGTACTAAGTAGCGTAAGCTGACATGGAAGGAATATCATTTTCATTTATTTGAATGACTGAAAATAAACCCATTGATCGCTGTCTTCTATGTCTATTGAATGCAGATAGATCTCTTCTAACTAGTACAGAGCACATGATAAGATTGAATTGATAGTAATGAACATGATCTATTAGAGCATGCTGTCTCAAGACGAGCAACTTGCTCCAACTCATGGCATCAGCGTGCGTTGTATGTCAGGTTGCAATTTCCACATAGAATAAGCCAAAAATGGAATCAAATCTGTGCAATCAATTACTAACATCGTATAGCTTGATCATTACTATCCAATGCTATTGGCTCACGAGACAAATTAGCAGAAAGAAGTCATCAAAACACATGCACCTACCGTAGAATGGTTGTCCAAGCTGGCGGTGTCACCTGTAGCAACTTGTGGTGCAAGAAATGACAAGCTTTCCCTTTAGTTTAGAGCACAGTCTACAGTAGTGCTGACAGGCTAGTGCACCAAGCTCGAGACCTAGTCGATACACAAGCCAACGTGGAGAATGTGAAAGCTCTGCCCTTGGATTTGATACCCCCAAATTTTGAAAAATTCTTCCAGCCACATGGATCTCGGAGGCTTGGACGTCATTTGTCGAATCTCCAGTAAAGTACACTACAAATTACTGTAGTTTCCTCTACTGTATGAATCACTTGAGTGTACAGCACAGTACCCTGGATTACAGTACTCCATGCTGTACTGTAAAAGAAGTACTGTACACGATACAGTACTTTACAGTACGGTACCCTGGATTACAGTACGTACAGTACTGTACAGTACAGTACGTACTGTACTGTACTCCATGCTGCATTGCGCAATGTACATACTGTACAGTACAGTACAGCGTGAGCCATACTGTACACTGTGATGTACTGTAGTATTGAATCTGATGTTGATGATTGACGCAGTGATGACGTAGTCCTGTACTGTACTGTACTGTACTGTACAGTACGGCTTGACCATTTCATGCCTTGTACTGTACAGTGTACAGTACAAGGCACAGTATGACTCAGTGTACAGTACAGTACAGAGCTGTACGGAGTTACCAGAAATCATTCGCGCAGCATGGCGTGAGGGTTTGGCCATGCCGTGGACTACGAGCAGCTTTTCTGCTGGCTTGGCCAAGTATCAATGCCGAATGCATCATTATCGAAAAACGCACATGTTACCGGCAACGACTACAAAAGAGAAAGAGAGAGACAAGAAACGATCATTCACTATACTAATTCCCAATTAATAATATGCAGTCTACCATTGGCATCCCAATTAGCTGCAAGCTTGCAATTATGCCGTTAAGTTGAGTTAAGTTTATGCGATACGGTTTCATCGACACCGTAGATAGTACAGTACAGTATAGTACTGTACTGGAGAAGGACCTGCAACATGATCAGCTACCTCTAGATACCATATTATTTTGTACTGAAAAGCGGCTTCCCGTCCCATCTCTCTTTTCGTTTTAGCAGCCGCTGATACCGGCAAGAGGCAAAAGCCAAAAATGATTAGTATGTACATGTTCACGTGTAAAGCACTATTGGCACTTGATAATGATGGCTAGAAATTCGTATATTCAGTTAGTGGGCATTAAACATTTTGTACGAAAAAGTATAGTACAGTACTGCACAGTGTACTGTACAGTCTACACTACATTTTAGAATTTGGGCGATAATACTCGGCTATTCGAGTTGTCTGTAGATATTTTGCGTGAATAGATTGACACGTTTTGTGTAGAATAGCTCAGCCCGGCTACGCTGGGTTTACACTGGCTGGTATAATATAATATAATAATAATAATTTTATTATTAATCACGTGTATCGCGTCTCCATCAATTTAAATTGTGTACTGTAATCTTATTCGATTGATGACAGACAACAATCACAGTGTACGCTGCTGTCTCTCATGGAATTACTCAGTACAGTACAGTATATATACCACAACACTGGTACATACTGTACACGTCGTACTCATTGCATGATGGCTGCTTAAAGCGTTAAAGCGCAAACGGTGAAATTGCCAGCTTGAATCAGTACGAAAATAAAGTTTTAAATTTACTCCTTTCTTATACGTAGACTGTACTGGGATCATATCGGATCTACGGCGCAAATACATTACCATATATGATCCCTATACTGTTCTATAGTGCTATTGTGGAAAATCTGAGATCTCTGCAATGGAGTTGAATTGCAACTGAATTTCAGTTACACGTTATACCATGGTTTCTCTTCTTCCTTGAGTAGTCCTGCTTCTGCAGCTTAATTCAATTTCAATTCTGACTGAATAATTAATTTATAATGAATTAATTACCACTCATATACAGTACAAGGATAATAAGGTGATTAATAATTAATATTGATGTACAGTACAGTACAGTAGATGTGATGGTTAAAATATACAGTACTGTAGATTACATAATCTAGAATTATTGCTCGAACATCGGAAAAAGAAAGTATAGTAGAGTAATTGGGATATGCGGTGCACTAGCAGAACTCAGAAGTAACAAAACAAGAGGATAGCGACTGCAGAACACTAGGCGAGTTACAAGTCATTATTACCGTAGTGTTCTATGCACTCAGCGTTAAGTGTACAGTATACTAAATCCTCTTAGGGTCTCTGGTGGACATTATACAGTACAACGTGCACTAAACAGTAAACACCGATATAGGACATTCGTCCACTCTTATAAAACTCCATCCTACAGCCAGTTTTCCAACAAAAATAATTCGCTAAATCTATAGGAAAACCATAATTATACTACGTTGACTAAATTGATTCAACGTAAATGCTTGTAGACGGCTAAGAGGTCAATTGGATCCCATGTTTCTTGTTGATTTGTGACCGTGTGATTGTGCCCTACGTGCGTGAATGTGAACAGGACGCCATGGCTGAATATGATGATACCAAAGTGAAGGACAACATGGTAGTGGCGATCTCTGGCGCAATCAAGAGCGTAAGGGCAGTCCATTTTGACTTGATGCTCAACAGTGTATCATTAAATCAGCACATAATATAATATTGCTCTATACTGAATAGTGCTGGCAGTAACATCAATATTTTCGATGAAGGCTATTTTCATGACGATGAGTTAATAACTTCGGTAACAAGAGTACAGTATTGTTATTTCGAATATATATCGACACGTTGAGTTTCAAGTCTTTAATACGAGTATTGGTGAATCCACTTCACCGAATCTTTTAACTTACCATACAGCCACTGCTCATGGCTATGATAGTCTACTAGTTAAATATACAAGCATGATTTACTCTGAAGCAATAAAACAGTGTGTTTGGCCTGATTAATGAATTAACTACTAAACTGCTTTTACCCCAGTAAAGTAGGTGTTTGTTTTCATCTGTCGCACGGAATAATATGAATGCAAAGTTGTCATTAGCCATTTGTTATAGCACAAAATATTCGTTAATACTACTCTTCCAATATGTATTATAGCTGCAGCTGTATTCCATTTCATCCAAAGATCGCTCAAAAGATACACCAAAGGTTATTTCAAACAACAATTTGCAACTCCATGATCTCTGTATACAGTTGGATCGAGCTTTTTGTCATGGGTATGTTTTACTTGCACAACTCTTCACTGGACACCAATATTTGTATTGTAGATACTGTACTTGATTCAACATTCTGTCCATAGAGATACGGTTAAAGTCAATTGAACCATAGTGAATTTATTTTCTTGCCCGTCTTTGAACGATACGATACTGTTATCGATCCACTTATTATCATCGAACAATAAATAAATTTAGCAGGGATAATTGTAAATGGAATCGTTTAATTACAGTCTTTGATTAATTATTCTAATCGCAGTACGTAGAATTGAGCAGAGTTGTACCGAGCAAAATAACCATTAATACCACCACTGCATTCTATTTTATCATTTAAAAGATTGTCTTGTCTTACCTCAGTTGTCGGGCATGTTCCAGTGTAGTCGATAGTCGACATAGGGGTAAATAGCAGTTTTCGCAAAAACTATAAAAAATCAATAAGAGTTCATTAATCGATAAGGATAAGGCAAACGATTCTTTATGCAAGTATAGCAAGTTGAGAAACTTTATTTAGCATTATATGCACTTCTAGATAACCTCATAATTTAGGAATACGTATCTTACATTGTCTTGCATTATAAGTTTACGTGCTGGTAAAAACGGATTTTGGAAGTATCTTCACGGAGTTATTCCTAAGAAAACAGTGCAAGAAATTGAAGGATTAGCAAATGTTTCAAGTGACATCGGCAAGGGTAGGATGAAAATCAGTTGACCATGTTTAAAATTGCCTTTTACGCTATTATTATTCGATACGATACAATATTCAAATATCAATTATTCGTAAAGGTCGTGCGTGGCTCCACTTGATACTAGCAGAAAGCAGCCTAGAAAGTTATTTACGTTTGTTTGCCAAACAGAACGATATACACAAAAGAAAACATTATCATAGGTAAGCTAACTGTTGTAGCAGCTCTAATGCAACACTAATATACATTTGTATCATACTTAGTAATACCTTAGGTTTCCAGAATTTCTAAATTAAGAAATAAATCATCTGCTTATACACATCTCTGGATTTAATTTGAGAATATTACAGTTTTTAGAAACCAATTAAAACAAATTTTTTATCATTTACAGATATGCACTGTTATGTGACATTGAGGTATTATCAACGCTAGAAGTCTTACTGATAATGATTACACAATTTTATTGAAATTGCATTGTAACTGTAACTAGCCTTTAATATATATTGGTATTATTACATGGTTGCATGATAAATAATCCTTCTCACTAATTTGTTGTGCAGAGAATGCAGCTACTAGAGACAGTAGCATCTGGTTTAGATGCTATCCAGTTTGTTCTCGATATGGTAGGTTACGCATTTTATTTCGTAAATTTATCTAAAGCAATCAAACAAGAGTATTTCATGTTTACCTGTAACCGGTCTATTTAGAAGATTACCTTGTTAAAATTGTAATATGCGAGCGGTTCTAGTAGGTAAAAGTTTATCTTGCATTGACAGTGGGCGGAATTTTTATTCTTTTAGGACGTCCCTTACATGGATTCTGTTGATTATTCTACCCCTTTTGTATCGGGAAATGTTAATAACGACGATAAGCTTTCTAATACACCTGGTTTTGCAAAAAAGAAAGTATTAACCAGTATGGGCTACGTTGACTGCGTTGTCAAGTCAAGTGAAAGCAAGTCGGCTGGTAAATATGAATTGCTGTTGCATAGTACTGCGAATTTGCTTTAAAGTAGCATAGTAGTGGACGATAGAATAACAGTAGGCAGTTGATTGCTTTTCGAAAATACTTACTGAATATCTCAAAAGATAAGCAATGAATAGCTTCAGCAAGGCATTTATTCATCATTAGCTTACAGTTATAAGATTTGATAAGAATCAGTAAGTCTTTCAATTGAGAGTGAGTGATTTGTTACGGATTTTGAATTTAATAAGCTTCATATATCAATGTGTTATGCGTAAAAGCACTGATCGTTGTATAAATACACGTACTGGTATTCATTGCCTAGGTTTGTAATATTAACGTTGACGATTAATTGAATGTACTGCATAATAGTAATGTCTCCAGCCAATGATAACATATCGCCTAATGCAGAAGTTAAAAAAGATAAAACCGCTCCAGAAAAGTTGCCCCAAAAAGAACATCCGCGGCTAAGTTCTGCTCCTATTCCTCCAATGCTGCAAGCGTCTATAACATCTTCTGAACATATGGCTGACACTGTTGTTAGTCGTAATCGAAAAAAGAAAAAAAATAAATCATCTAAAGGCACTAGCCAAAGTAGTCACGACAAGTCGGCTAAATCGCATGGTGATGTTATCACAGATGACAAAATTCCCACTGATGTGCTGGATGATAAATATCTTAGCACTGAAGAAAATAAGAATGATTTCCACGCAAAAGAAGCACCTATGGATCCAGTAGATAGTACATCTGTGACGTCGAAAGGCGAACTAATTACAAAGCCTTCGGAGCTACTCCAAACTGAGTAGGATGTTATAACTATAGGATTTATTTCTGATGTTTGTGATTGACTTAATGTATTTTTATTATTTTCGTACCTATTAAAAGGAGCGACTTGCAGATTGTAACAGATGATAATGAAATTAGATCTGCTGAAGAAATAATCACTATCGGGTTTGACAACCATGAAGAGATATTAGCAGATACAGTTATGGAGTTACCAGATAATGAGTAAGTCTGTTGCAATTTATGTTTTTTTATTTTTTGTGCGCGATGTTTTGATGTTAATTAGTGGTTTTTGTTGGTTAAATATCTAGAACACCCAAAATGACTAATCAAACTGTCGAAAATTGTCAATTTCTTAATGATAGTACAAATGCTGAAACATTGAAATCCAATGATACAATTGGGTTTCATGTTGAATCAGAAATGGACATGAAACGTAGCGAACAGCTAACTGTAACCACGGATGCCTTAAATCCTATAGATAATAGTGAAACCCCTCCTAAGAATAATAAATTATCGGATTTGCTGCAATCTCAGGATGTTCTGGTGGAGACTTCATTGCAAAATAGACATTCCACGTTGCCCAACGATGAAGTTAATGAATTATCAGTCGTAGAAGACCATATTATTACTGAAACCGAAGCTAAGCCTGACATAGAAAGTCCTAACAGTGACAAGGAAGTTGATAATTATAGTACACATAATAATGACTTTGGTAATGCAGCAGCAACGAGCACTGATGGTAGTAGCATTGATAAGGATAATGAGAAAACCAGAAGTCATTCTTTATCAGCTAGTGAAAATATACCTGAAAACATCTTGGCTTTCGATTTCGAAATAAAGTGTGTAAATCGTATCATTATCTGATTAGATTATTAATCCTGTAGTGCTGAATTGATTTGATCGATAGATAATTTTTTTATGTTTATTTTAGCATTACCCCTAGTATTGAACTAGAATTAACGTTAAATACGATTGATGACGAAATCGAAAGTCTCTGTAAGGTATGATTGGATGTGTTTCGCTGTATTGTGTGTTGTTCAATTCAATTAGTAACGTTTTAACCGTATGTAGATGTACAAGGTACCGTATTTCGAAAATACCATGTTCGTAAATTTTCAGTACCTGTTGCTGACCGATGCAACAATTTACATGCTTTATCAAGGTATAATGCGATTTTTAAGACTAATAAGCTAAAGCTGTATTAATTTATATACTGTTATAAATTTAATGTAAGACAATTGATAAAATTTTTTATGTATCAATTAGTGAGTTATATTCCATTCTATTTATTACAGATTCAGGCAGTTATATGAAGAAGTTGTCCTTCGAACTTGATGCTATTGACCATTTTGTGGTAAAGATTAAATTAATGTTGTTTCCAACGTGATCTTTTTATCCATCATAAATTTATATGAATATTGAGAAAGTACGAATTGTAGTATGGCAGGATAGCTAAAAATTAATAATTATGAATATCTATTACTGGAAGATTGGAATCGATTGGCAACTTTTAGGAATAGCAATCAAATCAGCAAACTACAACAAACTAAATATCTATACACTCTGTGAATTGCATGGGAGGTAGATATTTTTTATTGCTGTTATGAATATTCGATTTTTGTAAGATAGTAGTAAATCTAGTCGTAAAAGTATTGAACTTTGATATTGTAGCTAAAAGTTAAATTTTATATTCCAACTATTGGGCTTTAACTACAATTAAGAGCTATAATTGGTGAATTAAAGAAAATTTTATCTTGCCGGGGTTTGGAACCTTTGATAATTTATGATAAAATAACAGAACTGGATAAGTGGATAGATACTATTGAAGAAAAAGTGGTAATATGTGATGCATGTAATAATTACTAAATAAGCATATAAAATATTTTTCAAATGAGTACACATTTTCTTGTTATTTTGCAGTATATACACTTACCGATATTGTTATTGATATTTTATATAACAGGTTAAAGATAACTCTGCGCTTAAATACATCCAGTTTTGCTGTGCTTCTAACGTCGCTTCACGAATGAAACCGCGAAAGTCAACAGTGACACATAGTTAGTGCTTACGTTAATGGATTTATTTGGATTTCGAATAGACACACACATACAGTAGCCTCAAACAATGTAGGGAATCATTAAATAAATTTTTATTGATAACAAATTGTACATTTCACAACTTAGACGGGTGGCTTGAATATTATAAACCACAAGGTTACTTTGGAAGGGGCCAAAACTGGTTAAAACAGTATTTTTGCATTCAGTTAGTATTTATCGTAGATAGAAGCAGTAATATCGGCAAAGCTTATTCACTGTATATTACTGCGAAAAGTAGTATTTTTATATTCAATTAGTATTAATGTTATCCTGCTTTTATATCTTTGTATTTTTATTTAGAGATGGAAAATTATACCATTGGTTAGCAAAGGTATCAAACCTATCACTGTAGTAAATTTTGACTGCCAAGTTGCCTATTTTTTAAATTCATATATCGTTATCTTTAGGGTGATAGACATCCGAAAGCTATTCTTGATTTAAAGTTAGTGCAAGTCGTAATAGCTTCTTATAAATATAATCAATAAATCTAACAGGTGTATAATGTATAATTGTCTTCTGAATGAATTTGCACTATTATAATTTCATTGTGCAGGGAATGTGCAGAGTGCAATTTGATACCAGATAGCGAAAAGCCATTTGCTTTTAAGGTGTGTAAATTGATAATAAAATTTCTGAAATGCTGAGGACTTATGTAATTTATATAGATGTTTAAATTTTAACTGTAGCATTCTTATTTCTTACTATATCGCCGGCGTCTGATTATATTTTATTTATTACTAAAAGATTAAAATGAAAGATGGCAGCACTTCGTTCGCTCTTGCAGCTCAAGATGGAGAGTCTTTAAGAATATGGTTAACGTTGCTGTATGAAAATATTCTAACTCAAAATGTAAATTAGTGATAGAGCAACTTTTTAGTACATTATCGCTATAGTGTATATATATAGAAGTACGGACTACCGATAATCTTTAAAATAATTATTTTTGTGATAGGTGTGGGATAGAAAGAATAATGCTGTATGTCCGGGTCCGGGATTTGTTCTTGGGTCTTTGATTATCACGAAGACAAATGTAATTATTACGTTAATTTCGACGCCTATGAAATATTTGGCGCTTATGAAATTGCAATTACAGAAATATAAATATCACTGCATGATTGTTCTTCTCTCAGGTATATATTTGTACGACTAATACAGAAAGTGAGATTCTAAAGATGATATCATCATGTCCGATTGAGAGTATAATTTCCGTGTCTAAAGATAAAGATGGGCGAATACCGTATTGTTGCAGTTTGGTTAGATCATTGAATTTTCCTTCAGTTGATAGTTAAGAGAATTTGTTGTACATTATTTTGCTCTGTTGAAAAGATGAATGTTTTTGCATTTGCAGGAGTACATTATCGTGGAAAGTGATGAAAGTCATAGTATTCCGTTGTGCTTTGCGACTAGTTTTGATTGTGAAAAATTTATAGCTAGTATTACAAAAGAATGGCGTAATTTATTCAAGGTAAAATACATATATGAAATATCGATTTCTGAATGATAACATATTCCCTCTATGAACCATTATTTACGGGTGCGTTGGTCTTATAGGTTGATTTATCAGTTGGAGAATGTGAGGAATATATTATCGACACTTTTAACGAATATGTGGAAATATTTGGTGAAAGCAAATAATTATTTAATTTTTGAAAGTGTACTCTGCACTCGCATAAAATGCCATAGTATCTTCCACAGTGCAGAATATCGCATATTTACAAGACGGACTGCATATTCAATTATTGCCTTAAAATGACGCTATGAAACTCTTTTTTAGTTATCGTAGTGAATTATAATTTACAGATACATGCCTGCCTGTGTTTCTATAATATCATTAAGCATTAATGCCAATTACTGTATTTATGATTAGAGGATATCCGCATCTATTGATCTATGATAATAATTTGAATCATGCTGTTAGATAGAAATTAACTTTAACGCTGATAAGCCAAATCTAATGAAACTATACTTATTTAATTTGAGTAGGTTTACTGGTTCAGACCAAAAGTCTCTAAAAATTTATCTATCAGTAAATAATGTAATTAATGCTATCCATCCTCACAGCTTAACCGGATAATATATTTTTTCACCACGGATTATACTCGTATGTATTCACCAGTGGTCTTAATTCAATGACACTGTATATGTATTATGATGGATGTTATTGTGGAATTGTAGTGTAATAAATACTCGTAAATGAGATGTGTTGGAAACTCACCCCTGATTATACTTATTATTTTATTGTTGTTAGTTAGCATGCTTGTATTGCACTGCGTTATCCATTCATGCACAACGTAACTTTATTAATGGGTGTTTTATTACGTAGGAAATTGGGGACTTGAGGTATACGAGTATGCAGTTACAGGAAAGAAGATCTCCGTATCATAAATTTATAATACTTCATTTACTATCGTGGTAAATGGTAAAGATTTAGTTGCTGTACTGCAGTTAGTGAAACCTTTATAAAGGAAATGTACGCTTTCATGGATGTAAATAGTGTTTACAGTTAACAGTGTCAATGATATCAAATCAATCGTGAATACGCTATCAATGCCTTAAATTACCAAATGCTCGATTCTCTGAGAATCGAGTGATTGTATGCTTGTTAACCTACTATATATGTATTATATTTACAGTGGGATTAAGTACTTTATCCTTTGCGATGGGAAATTTTTATAGACCTGCATTACGACGTGAGTTGTAAAATGGTTGCAGCGACTGATAGTTTGTATTAGAAACTTGAAAAAGAAATCGAATTATTCAATACTGCAATATGAAGTGATCAAAATATCATGAATCCATTGCTCAATGTCGTACCGATCTGTCTGCATGGCATTTGAGCCTAATTTAATGTCCATTTCTTCAAAATTGAAAGACATAATTGAAGGCAACACTATAGCTGAACATTATTCAACCATTTTGGAGGGCTCTCGCCACGCCCCTATAATAGTGCATACAGATGTCGTGGTCAGCCCAGAATAACACAAATAAGGACCTGATGAATAAATAAAAAAATTATCTGAGAACAGTATAGAAATCTGAATCTGAAAGTAATGTGATCACTACTACTAGTAATGACCCATATACTGTAGTTAGGATTCCATAAAGTAGAAATTGGTCAATCCACTCAATGGCATTCAATACTGAATGACCAACGAGTTCTACGTCCAATTTGCCAAAGGTGAACAACCCCCTCTTTCTATTGTGCAAAATAAGTTGTCACCCATGATGTTATCGTCTTTGTCTGTATGAATTAGATAACACTTACATCATGACTCCAATATGAAATTTAGGGGTGACACAACATAATCTTAGACCGGATATTTAATAGAGAATGGCATCAAATGCTCCTTCTACAGCCATACGCCGATGCGAAATGACAGATTGGATACAATGTAATAAATCACTTTCGAGCTTCTGTTCAAAACAGTAGCCTTAGAATACATTGATCATATCTGTGACTGTTTTGATACAGTACCCTGCATCCTAGACAATACCGCATATTACCTATTCATTATATTAATATCCGTAGTGCCTACAGTATATACGTTTTAGGCGCTGACCGGCAGGGACAAAATTCAATTTCTGCTTTAACCAACGGCAAATCTTGGTTGTTTTTGTATGCTTGTCGATGGAAAATGACTTGAAAATGGACGATGAGAAGGTAGGCTGCACGTTGTAGAAGCTATTTTCAACGTTAAACATACGGGATAGCGTGTTGCTTGTTGGTAGAACAGAGGACTGTACTGTCGTGTACATGTAGAAGGCTTAAAAGTAGTTTACCTCACAAGAGTGGACGCGTCCATTCCTTTCGTGTATTCCTTATACTATACCAGTTGTTAAAGGCTTAAAGATGGAAAATGTGATGATTATAGCAAACTAGGCGGTAGGTTGACTAATCGATAGGTACATCTAGTCGGAACAGATTGAGTTAAGGCATCTTTGATCATGGCGATGTGAATAGGAATAGATGGAATAAGCTTACATCGACGAGAAAGGTCCCTAGGGCCTCGTCTTTTCGAACGCCCTCAAAGCAACTTATCTAATTTTACTGGATATCATGGCTCAACATTTCAACACTTTTTTTACCATGTTGAGTAATTATAGCATATTTCAAAAAGAGTTTTAGTAGAACTGGTTGAAGGTGTACTGGTATAGCTTGTGTTGGAAATAGTAAGGTAATACAGAATCATGATAATGTGACAAGGGATACTATGAGATTCTTATTGCATTGTATGATGATTTCAAATTTTCGACACCCATTGATTAATCTACTGGCTGGAGATCCAATCATCAAAGATCAGCCATGTTAATAGTAAACCTTGGATGCAGCCGAGGAATAAGCGGTATTAGGATCATCGATTAATTTCTTGTATCAATGGCGTGATCCTAAACATTGCACGCTCTATTTTTGCAAAATCAACAATGTCTACGTCACAAAAAAATGAACTCGATGCAATGGTGGATTGCTATACTGTAAGCGGATTGCAACTTTGAGTAAACAAATACTTGCTTAATCTGCTTCTATTCTGTAGAAGTATATTGGTCTTTTGTATGAAGGAGAAGATTTAAAATAAGATTGCTTTTTGACCTCCTTTTATTGCATTCTATTGCACTCAATGATTCATCCTTATCCAAAGGATCATTTATCTATTTTTAAATCGAATTCTATCATGTTAACTATGATCCTGTAAATACAACTTGAATATACGGTAATGTACAAGATCAAGATATTATTAAGGTTAAACCGACACTTAGTCATATTAGTCTTCTATGCCGGTTCCTACGGGGGGGGGGGGGGTAGCAATTTTGAAGTATTTCATTTTCTTTGCAATTTTCGATCCTTCTGTTTTCCATTTAGTGCATATAGTCTGTGGTATAATAGTCCACAGATGAATTTTAGTAAGGCTACTGATTAATATTTTCAGATTGTAGAGTACTGTATAGTTCATGTCTAACGTTTCTAAGCTGGATAGATAGTACTGTATTTTTAACGCAGACGACAGTGTCATTTTCTCCATCGCAAGTTTGTCCTTATGAGGGGGATAGAGCACACATGGACGTGCAATCAGATAGTGATTTTCTTTTCAATAGTTTGACAAAGTTTAAAGTAAAAATATATCGTTCTCATCTGTTCGCAAAATATTGACTCTCAATCAGTTATTTTCTTTCATCTTTTACAAATTATTAAAATATCACTAGTTTAACTACCATTGAATCTCTTTTATAAGAAAAATTGAATAGAGCCGGTATAGTTTATTGGCCGTTTAGAGATTATATTTCCTTATCAAGAATATTTAAATATACGAGACAGTATTGGTATATTCCATCGTGTAGATGGCCTTCATTTGTGGCGTATTGGTTTAAGAAATTTCTACTATTTGCTTTTGACTACCAATGAAAACTATAACAAGTACTATATCATCGACGATTGTGCTATTACTAATATACAATAAAGGAAAACCACAATAAGAATGCTGCTAATATTAAGCTATTGATCCATTTCTCCCTGGTGTCGTCATTTGCCAACCTTCAACGTTGATAATATCGACTAGACAGACTATTGATTATATTATATTTCTGTTCATACATGCAACGTTTTCTCTTTCTACATTATCTATTAATCTAAAGTACATTATAGATTAGATATCAGGTACTTCTTCTATTGGATGTATTTGTGTGATAGCTTTTTTTTCTTCTTGTAGAAAGATAAGATAAAATAGATAGCGTGAAGTCAGTAGATTTTCACTAAAATGACGTTGGCGATGGTTCTGATGATAGTAATCGGCGCAGATATAGTCTTGACTAGATATACTGTAATAGCATGCACAACTTTTGTTGGCAAAGGAAATCGCTTCCGTCGTTGTCAAAGTCAAGAATAATAATACTGTACAATTGTCGATCAGTGTTGTACCGTGTCTATGATCAGCTGATTGGATAGTTGTAATTCATTCATTGGATTAAATTGTTGGTTATTTATTTGTCCTTTTGGATGATGAAAATAGGTTGTAATTTAAAGACCCTAGATAGGAAAGGTCTCTGTTTGTACCGTACTGTATGTCAGTTGAGGAATAGAATAGAGGGTATGGATTGTCAACCATTTCCATTTTGATGCATTCATTTTAAGTTAGCTAAAATAGACCAATTATATCGTCAAGCAGTTGACTGATCAATTTTATTTTCAAAATGGCTACTGTAGGTGCGTGATGGAGATATGGATCACATATCTGATGATGTTGATGATTGGTATGAAGTAGATGACGATGATTATGATGACGTAAATAACATTGATGAGTCTTTCGATGAAGATGATCTGAGGAATGGTATTCAAGGACTTGATGAGCTTACTGTCAATGGCCAAGCCGATGGAAAAACTGTAATTGAAGATCAAGAAGAAGAAAGTGAATTAAAATTGATACAAAAATCAGGTAAGCGCAAGTTACAAATACCTTGCTAGGACTTGTAATACGATTGATGAGGATTTAACATGCCAATAACTTGAAAAGGGCATCGTCTTTTCGTCGAAAATACTGTCGGATTTTTCATCAATTTTTATTGTTAACTGGGATAACAATTAACTTCTATCATTCTGAGCATTACTGTGATGATGCTATAGGTTTAATGTTTTATAAAAATACATGAATAATCTGAAATACGCGTAGTATCACGAAATACATGCTTAGATGTGAAGTTCACGCCATAGAAATTTCTCAATTCTACAATTAAATCCTACTTTCACACCTGCGTTAGCCTTGATAGCAAGGGACATGGTAGGATCTTTTGCTGATGAACAAGCGTATACGTTCCTATTTCTTAATTTTTTTCTTTATCTTGGCCTATATTCAATGTAGAAATGCAAAAATTGCTAATGGGTCTTCGTAAAATGAAAATTCGTAGTTTACTCAGTTGTCATGTCAGACAAAATGATTAATCCACCATATGATATATGAAGATGCTGATAGCCAATTCTATTTTTCCTATAAACTATTGAAAACCTTCGAAAACACCGTAAACCTCATATAGCATACTGCATAACCTAATGTGATGATCACGATAGCTAGGAAATGTCCAATTCTTTAAACTCTGTAGCCTGCACAACTTATAATTTCGCGTTAACATTTGGATTTCTACTTGCAACAAGTCAAAATGGAATTAATTATTCTCGGTGATTACCGTTTCTATCACTTCAATTGTACAGTATTACAACATGAATGAAAATCGAGGTTAACCCATGAATACTTGTAAGCACGTAAGCTGTAGATGGGCGTATCGCGTTGTGTTCAATTCTCTATCGTAGTTTCAAATGAAAGTATTAGCTTTGTTATATCTTGTTGTGTTGCCATTATTTGTGTGTAAGACTCTCTTATAGTAGGGAATTAAATCTTAAAATTTGCTATAATTGTACAGTTCAAGAATCATGCATTGGTTGTGGTTACAAATAAGGGAGCATGTGGAGTAAATTTTTTACTTTCTTCAGCATTTTAACTGGATGCTACCCATTGCAATAAATCTCAAGATTGATATTCTAACCGCATAAGATACAAAAATCAGACACTGCATACAATTGAAATTAAGCGAGTAAGTTGAATAAAAATGTCTGACTCAGCTGTGATCTAGTTGCAGCTATTAAATCTCAAGATTGGAGATTCTATTCGTGTAGTACAAGAGCCAGGCATTATAGTAATTGAAATGACGCGCTATCTACGTTACTATATTTTACTATAGACGCTAGCGGTTTACGTAAGCATCACCATTCTGACCGTGCGGTGTAGCCATACAATGCACGTAGTTATTACACCGCATGTAGTTGAAATTAGGCATGCATAATTTAATGAATAAATTTATGTACCATCATCTCCAGCATGTTCAACGCTTTATCATACTGCAGTACGTACTGTACATCTAATTTGATCAACTTTGTTGCGTATTTTTGCACAATCCCCACTGTCAAATTAATTAATTACTCAATGATGAAAACTCAATTTACGTATCTACGGTGCTCGCTTATTGCGAGACTGAACTATTGCAAGTAAGAATTCTACAAACATTGACTATGTGATTTACTAAATTGCAACTAATAAGCTTAATTGTAGCAAATTAAAAATTTTACTCCTACAATATACATATTGTGAGACCTTTTAGTCATACAGTGCTTAGAATCGATTTATTAATCGATAAAGTCTGCGCCGAATTTGTCCAGAACTTTTAGTATTTAATAGAACTATTAACCTTAATAGAGCAGGAGGTGTTAAAATATTGCAAGTTCTTCATTAAACACTGCACCTTATAGCGAGAGCTTGGGGTGCTTAGAAAAAACTATTACTTGTGTTAACCGTAGTAATCACCAAAAGAAGGCTACACACGAGTGAGCCACCAAGCTTTGGATAGGATAAGATATAGTATATATTTATTGTAGCCAGTTTCCTCGGCGTTTTCTTATCAAGCTTAAGCTTGTATTAATTAATCAGTACAGTATTAACCCTCAAGCAACTAACAACACTTATAGCTAAGAAAGTTTAACTAATTAGTGCACTTTACCGATTTCACTGAACTATATATAGTACAGTAATATATAACGTACGTACGCAAAATATCTCCTGCCAGTTACACTTCTTTATCTCACTAACTATGTTTCGAAATAGCATTCGCTTAAATGTATGTAATAAAATCAATAAAAGTAAATATATAAATCCCGCTTCAGTTACTTTTACGTACATATAATGATCTATGGATATGAACACTGGCAATGCAGCGATTTGTAATTCCTTTCAGTAATACTGTAATTATTAAATAGTATTATACGCATTAATTTGTGTCTATCTTAATTCTCAAGACAAACTATTATGAAATGATGAAATAGACGTTACAGAAATAACGAGATTAACGAGGGTTACATTCAGTAATTAAAAGTTACCGGTAATATCTCCGTCATATGATTTTTATGCTTATGGTATATAGGATTCCTATCATGCTGATAGGTAACATTATGAAATGTTTGAATCAGAATAGAATAACAATATTGAACAGGGCTAACGTCAATTTAGCTGATATCAGTAAACTATATGTTGTATATACATCTACTTCATCAATTCATAGAAAGCAAATTGTACTTTTAACAGTATACAATGAACTCTTTGGTCAAATGCAATGGTAACGGTTGTTATACTGCATAATTAGATATTGGGGCGTTGAAAGTTTAATTATTTCTTGATTTTGATTGAATTCAGTCGCTCACATATTTCCATATTCCTATAGCATGGTAATTTGAAATATGTTAACTGATTTGCTATGATTATGTAGTATTTTGTATTAAGTTGACTGATATAAAGCCTCATACATCAGGATGTTCATACACGAGTATGGTCTGAAGTTCTCGGATTAGCTATTACTCGATCTTTCTTGATTTTTCGTATAACTTACGCAGGTTATTCAGTAATGCAAATATAAAGATTAATAAAATGGGGTGGGTCTTTAACTATGGACTATACAATACTAACATAATAAATAATTTCAATTACAAGATCTTAGCAATGAAAATATCAAAATTAATAAAATAGGGTTTACGGACGTAATTGGATATAATTTTATTTTTAACATTACGACATATTTATATTAAGCAGCTCTTATGATAACGTATTTGCTCAAAGAAATCTTACACCTAGTATACTTTAATGGATAGTACAGATAATTGCGGTTGTCAATAGTTGAATGATTACTAATTATTATAGTACATTAGTATTATAGTATTAATAGGTCAATAATAAATTTATTCAAAATCGTATGCGTACAGTAAAAGTTAGCATATCTACAATGCCTTATTTACGGTTTGTACTTTAAGCTAAGCTAGAGACGAACCTTTGTAGGCTCTCTTTGTAGATTATCTTGTGAGTAGTACTAATAAAATCTGATCACGCTCCATCTCATCGTATTTAACGATACTATTACCAGAATTTAGGTATGCTAAGTCACGCCAACGGATCCCTTCTGAAAAGATAGCAACATCCCTAGGCCAGTTTTTCAAGTAAGGTTTTCTGGCATCATTCTGTATCTGAATTACTGTAATAAATTATTGCAATATTCATATAATAATATTTGTTAATCAATTAAACAGTTGTAGAAGGAAAATGTAAAAGGCTGAGAAAGCCTTGTTAATTTTTACAAGGTCCAGATTACTGCTATTGTTTTTACAGTCGTATTTTAAAATGAAAACATTAAGATTGTTATCACATTTTAATCAATTTTCTTATCTATAAAGTTTGATTCGTTCAGCAATTGGTAAAGAATTATGGCGTGTTACAATGCCAATTCACTTTAACGAGCCATTGTCTCTGATGCAGGTAAATTGTGTAGTCGAAATATTTATACTTCTATACTCATTTGATATTACATCTAATGATGTAAAAGCTATCGGAAAAACTATAGATACTACGGATAGTAATCTAATTATTATGGTGTATACTATATAGTCGATTCATCTGCTATGATAACACAAAATAATCTAGAGTCTTAATATCATTTCAGAGAATCTGTGAAGATTTAGAATACGCATACTTACTGAATCAAGCTGCTGGTAATAAGATTGCTATTATTGATTCGATCTTATGCAAATGTATCGTATCATAGAGTAATTGATTATAACATTACTGACGAGTTTACGTTTATGTCTGGTATCTGTAATTTTATCAGAATTATTATAAAACAAATGTAGGACTAATAATTATAACTTATTTACTAAAAGAATGCAAAGACTCTATGAGACGTCTAGCGTTGGTTACAGCTTTTGCCGTCTCGCCTTTCTCTACAACGATTGGAAGGTAAATGTGCTACCAATACAGTATTGTAAAATACTTACAATTATAGGATGTGATCTAGATCAACTGCTTTTTAATATTATCGTCATCATTGCACAATGCACACGTCACTATTATAAGAAAAAGAAAATTTTATCGAAATTTTTTATATTTCGTAGGTATAGTAAACCATTCAATCCGCTACTTGGTGAAACGTTTGAGCTTATCGATGATAACTTGGATTATTGTTGTTTCTGTGAACAGGTAATTTAACATTTACAAGGCTATTAATAGTAATGTATCTGCGTTTACTTTGGCAAATATTGTTATATTTTAGCTATTACATGAACCATAACAACAATTGCAAATTATTATCCATTGTAGGTTAGCCATCATCCACCAGTCTTAGCTATGTATTGTGAAGGAAGAACCTGGAAATTATGGCAAGAATATAAGTTTGATTCTAAATTTCGTGGACAAGTGCGTTGTTTTGAATCATTTATTCAGATTATACTTGCTAGTTTTACAAAATAATACTCTTTATATTTTAATATCACGTAGTTTCTACGCTTATCGCCTACTGGAGATGTCCATGTTAAATTCAAAGATAATCAACACCACTATTCGTGGAATAGACCAGATACTATTGTACATAACTTACTTATAGGATCTATGTGGGTTGATCAGGTACTCGTTATAGCGCTAAGATACATAACTACCTTTGAAAGGAATTCTTAGCATTCAGATGATATCATAATTTGATTAAAATAGGATGGAATTGCTAAAATTACTAATTATCAAACGCAAGAAATCTCTCTTATGGTTTATGATTCATGGAATAAAGCCGGAAGAAGTTACAAGAATGTAAAATGTAGGAAAACTGTTACGACTTCCGAAATCGAATTTTATTATTTACTAAATCTAATTTTTTAAATTTGCATTAGGTAAAGTTAGAGATGCAAAAGATAAGATTAAATTTGAATTAAATGGAGCGTGGGATTCCTATTTAGATTGCACCTCGGTATCAGGTATATATTCACGTATACTGCGTTAATATTGTTTATTCAACCTTCAAGATTAGAATAAAATCTTGAATTTGATAGATATGAAAACTGAACGTCTTTGGACTATAGGAGAGAGACCGGCGGCATCTACCAGGTTGTATTTTAATCTCAGTATTGGAGGTATATGCGTATGCTTTTAACATAATAAATGCTTAACGTTATTGATACAGAATGTATGGATTCACACGTTTTGCGATGAAACTTAATCAATTGCAGGAAGGTTAGATATACAACCCTTCTTGGTGGAATATAATTAAATTATGTCTTAAATATACACTTTGTTGTTACATATTAGTTTTGATAGCTTTATCGATTAATAATTTCCATCGTACTTGTAGGTGTTTGCCCCACGGATAGTAGGTGCAGACCTGATCAAAGGCTAATGGAAGAGGGAAAGGTATCCGTAGAAGTGTTTAAGTTACCTAGAATAACCTAGAAATTAATTCTAACAATTATTTTCTTTATTTTATCACGCTGTGCTGTTAAGATACTGGAAGCTTCTAAAGAGAAGCATAGACTTGAAGAAAAGCAGCGTGCTGTCCGTCGGTATCGTGCAAATGAAAAGATAGAGTACAAGCCCAGGTGACTGCCTAAAAAATTAATATTGCTCTGGAAACTCTTACTAAAGTTTTAGAGTTTTGTAATCCTAGAATTATGCTTACTTTGACTTTCTAACATTATCAGGTGGTTCGTTATGAAGAAAGATCCAGATACCAATGAATATTACCACATGTATGCTGGAGGATACTGGAAAGCCAGATTAGATGGAAACTTTATAGATATTCCGGAAATATTTTAATTTAAATACAAAATTGGTTCATGATGTTTATTGAATTTTCTTGCTTTCGCACGAAGCTCGATTTCTTTTGCTATTCAATTTATGTTTATTTACAATATCACATACTATAGTCACATTTTAATTAATCATCTGCGTACATACAAGTATACAACACCTATTTTATGCCATGCGAATTGATTTGTTTATAAAACTTACAATTTACTTAATTTTAAAATTTATTGCAATACACTAAAGCTGACGGATCGTAACACATGTCCATTGCACTTTAGAATATTGATCTCGCTACTAAACGAATGCGATAAACGTTTAACTGCTAATGTTACATTTTCTGTAACCAAAATATACTGTAATAATAAGATTACATATCAATTTCTTTAATGACTTTTAACGATTTATGTAATGACTGTTGTTTAATACCAAAGATGATACTGTGTACAAACTAAATTTAAATTTAAATTTCGTATATCGACACTATAATTGCATATTCTATGATTAATGCTGCTAGTACGAGACGGTTCATTCATGCTTAAGGCACATTTATGAATAAAGATCCTTAAAAAATTTACTGGAACCCATCACCAAAGTAATTACGAATTGTAATATAACATATAGCATTACTGTAAACTGCTCATTAGGTAATGACCGCGTTACGCTTGGTTAACTAAGTTAATCAGACTGCACAGATAATAAGCGATATAAAATGCTTCAAGTACGTAGTATCTGTTAATTAAATTAGTAGTTTTTACTGATAATAAAGGAGTGACTTAAGCAATTTCCATTTTTCATAGCGCCCTTAGTTTTGTTTCTTCTAATTCCCTGGTAAATATACTTATCAAATCTCATTACAACAATTGTTTTGTCTCATTTTAGACAGACTTATACTTACATGTTTAAATTTATCAATTAGATAATACTATTAACGTGTACAAATCTTCTTTACTCGTTTATTTTAGTCCAATGCTTTAGTTATAGCAAATACATTACAGTACGTTGCTATTTTAATATTTAGATAACGAGCAGGTGCGTAATAATTTATACTGTAATTTGCTTTACAAATATTCTTTTGAGAGTGCAAATGTGCGTATGTACATGTAATTATTGTCCAAAGAGAGATAGACTAAGAAATCATCTTGTGCGCAAGCTGTTAATTTTCGGAATAATGATTGATTGATTTACAGATTGCTACACTCAGAAATGTCGCATCATCGGTCGTTTGATAGCCAATATAAAATAAGATTTACGTATATGTATTTAGTAAAATTCAGCTGATAAATAATATCAACTTCTCTTGAGATTTACCATTCTATAGACTGGAAACGAGAGGCCAGAAAGATCAATCTCGCACTTCTATTTTACCTTATCATCTATCTTATAGGTGAATAGAGTGCAAATATAACGATCACAATTTTAACCCTTAAAAAAAAGTATCAGGTTTTCATAAGTTATTCTAATTATTTATTAAGTATGCCAACATAGTAGAGATGTCTAGCTACAACGCTACTAATCTCACATAAGTCGTAATTACCTTTCGCTATAAATAAACACACGATAAATTCAATATGGATATTGGTGCCATAAGCAAAGTTTTTATTTGCATGAATGTTAATCCTAAAAATTAGCGAATGATTCTTGTAATAACTGAAGTGTTTTAAATTCTAATCGGTAAGGCTTAAAATATCCTTTAACCTGAATTGTAACAAATTTTAAAGAAATTAAAAGATATTTAGATTGCGACCATTGCTGTCATACAATTCACGATTAAGGGTTTCTAAAGTTTGCTCCAGCAAAAACGGCATTATCACCAAGTTCTTCCTCAATCCTAAATTAAAATCACTTCGTTAAATCAGGTGTACGATGGATAAATTTTCGAATAATAGTGATCGCTACTATACCTGAGCAATTGGTTATATTTGCAAAGTCTTTCCGACCTGCAGGGCGCACCAGTTTTGATCTGAATTAAGCAAATCAAAAATGTATAGCAGGTAGTATATCAGTGGCACTAAAAAAGTCATTATTTTAAAGGTCTGAAATCAAGGTGTGAAATTTCGTACCTGTCCAGTACGCAAGCCAACAACGAGGTCAGCTATAAAGGTGTCTTCAGTTTCTCCACTACGATGACTGACCATGACGCCCCAACCGTTTTGTTGTGCCAATTTACAGCTGTATGATAATTTCGTTGTACATCGTATATTAAAATTAAAATTAAAAATGACCAATGGAGTAAAGTATCATATGATAAATATATAAATCTACATACGCGTCAATCGATTCAGTTACGGAGCCAATCTGATTTACTTTCAAAAGTAAACAGTTACATGCTTTGCGCTCAATGGCCGTTTTAATGCTGAAAGATAGAACGTTCTAAACTGACATTTTGCGATTAAAGGATACACTTTGCTATAAATACGTTATTCGATAGTATTCCTACCGCTTCGGATTAGTTACTGTTAAATCGTCTCTAAAAAATTTTTAAAATTTCAGAAAAATTCTAATTAGCCATACATCTTCTACAGTAGCAAAGCATGTGACCAACGTATCCTACCCGACAATTTGAATATCAACAGCAGCTGTAAGAGCGGACCAGCTCTCCCAGTCATCTTGGTCGAACCCATCTTCTATTGATACGACTAAGACCAAACGAAAACATAAATATTATTCTTATAGCAAAAGCGCAAATGCCTGAGTAAGTTTAGAATGTATACTTGGGTAATTGGAGACGTAAGACTGGTATAGTTTGACTAATTCGGATCCAGCAAGCTACAATTATAAGATTAACGTAAGTAAATGATACAGTATAGCCTCTACGACTAGAAATTAGAAATATATAAAATAGAATTAAAATTTTGACAATACTACGTATTACGAATTCTTGTTATACCAAGTTGTCTGGACTAGCATTTGATTTCTTGAAGTCCAAATTGTACTTGCCATTCTCACAGAATTCTAGAAATAATAACAAAAAAATTAACATGAGTTACAGCCATCGTAAAGTCTAAAAATTATTTAAACCTATACCAGACGCAGCAACATCCATAGCAATTGAAATCTTTCCAGTATAACCGGCTTTTTTAATAGCCTCCTGTAGCAGTTGTAAAGCTGAAAGCAGCAAATAATAGTATTACCGACGACTGTTTGAATATCATAATAAATGACGTGATAATTTTCTTACCTTCACCACCATCAGCAAAGTTTGGAGCGAAACCACCTTCATCACCGACATTGGTTGCTATAAAATGAAGTATTGTTCCAGTTAACTGAAATTACTTAGCTAAAATCTGGTAGGAATCAATTTAACTATTAAACATTGAAGTTTTTTATAATTACCATCTTGTCCATATTTAGCTTTGATAATCGACTTTAGGTTATGGTAAACTTCACAACCCATTCTCATGGCTTCACTAAACCTGCTAGCTCCAGTTGGTAAAATCATAAATTCTTGCATAGGCAATAGATTACCGGCATGTTTTCCTCCATTAATGACGTTGAATGCCTGCAAATCAAGTTATAATATTCCTATATTAATAGTATGACATGATATATAAATCGATGTACAAATGTAATAAAAGTTAAGGTAGTTCGAGAATTAGTACAGAAAGGCCTTCAGTAATTTATATTCTGGGCATGGTAAAACGATAAATGAACTATTTTTATTACACTTACAGGCACTGGCATGATGATTTTTTCATTACCAGCTAAGTCAGCAATGTGACGGTAAAGAGGAACACCCTAGATTTAAAATAATTTTTCCTTATTGCAATCAAAATGATATAGTATGTATATTACTTATTTTGACTGGATTAAAAGCAACCACTACATAATTTTGGTTAAATAGATTATCAACTAGCTATTACCACCAAAGCGGCATTTAAAACAAATTGAAGCATTCACATTACTTTGTGTGCAGCTCCGGCCTTACAAACAGCGAGCGAAACACCAAGGATAGCGTTTGCGCCTAATTTGGCTATGAATAAATGGTATTTGAACATTTACTACGCCACAATATACAGTATCAATCAACATCAAAAATGATCGTCATAAAATGGAGATAACATACACTTATTCTCTGTTCCGTCTAACTGTAGCATTAATTGATCAAGTTCCTTTTGCTTTGTAACTGCTACACCCTAAATTGTAAATCCATACAAGGTTCGATTTCAATATCCTTATTCTTAAGCATTTGTAGCTTAAGTTAGTCAAGACTTGGTCTAGTACTTGATAGCAATTTGTCAGATTGTATAGTCAACTTACGGCCTTAATTAATGCTGGCCCAATGACATCATTGACATTACTAACAGCTTTGAGCACACCTTGCATATAATTAATACCAAGATTGGAAGCAAATTAGTGGGTGAATATTCATGGAACAAGCTACTCGATTTTAAAACGAGCTATTCAGGATGTAATTTCTAATTTCTAATCGTCAATCTACTTTCACTCTAATCACTGCTAATTCATTCAATCATCCTCAGCAACGTAAGCTATAAATTAATTCGACGCGCATAATGGTGTTTCGTCTAGTCCAACAGATCCGTAGTCATTTTATCAATTGTGAATTAGATTCATTCAACTTGAACGAGTTCTGCTAGAGTCTATTTACATTAATGACTAGTACTTTTCTGCAAGACATTTTGATTTAATTAGACCAATTGTATGCCTCTTGTATAACCTTATAATAGATAATAAAAGTCAATTTTTTTCCTTTACTGCAACGACAATACAGTACATAACCAAGTCTAATCGCGATTTTTATTATTAAAACAACATTCACAGATAAATGTTCATTTCTTAGCTATCGTTTACAGACAGTATCGCCCTAATATTGCTCATGATCAGTGATGCTCCTCTTTGCTATTGCTATTCCCTACCTTTGCCTAAGAAGCGACTTGGTTCCTTGTCGCGCAACTCTAAAGCTTCATAAATACCGGTGGAAGCTCCAGAAGGTACAGCAGCTCGAAATACACCAGCAGCCGTCTTGACTTCAACTTCGACCGTTGGATTCCCTCGACTATCCAAGATCTCTCGAGCATGAACGCCCAAAATTGCCGCGTTGTCAGACATTATTTCAATCCCTAAAGCCATTACAAAGAAAGTTGAGACTCCTTGATCGATACCTCGATTTTATCCAAGGTATTTGATTAAGCCTAGCATTTAGCATTGGTTGATTGATTTGCTCGTCACGTACACGTCCATCAACTACTACAGTAGCAAAAGTCCTCTTTCTTGCCTAGTTACATAGCCTAAAAACTTGTGCTGGACTACTGACATCTATTGCTAACACCATTATTAGAATTACAACAATGACACTCTACTAATGTGATCTATCGCCATGATCGCTTTAACTACTGCAATATTGTACGGTATTGCACTGTTTACTATAGTGATTAGTGGGATCAAAGGCTGCCCTGCAGTATTTTCATCCATCAAATAACTGATGCAGCATATCTGGGTTACAATCGCTTAAGATTCTAGTTCATTCAATTGTAAAATTAGCATCATTATTGGGATAAATTCAATGATTAATACCATACTATTGGAAACATTCTATATCGAAAGAGAGAGAAGCATTTGTACAAAATGATACCTGGTGACAGTGATGATCGGTCAGGAAAATGAGCTGGAACTCTTCAGTGGCAGCAATCCGAACGGGAGACTGGGTCACTAATGAGCTACAGCTGGGCTCAGCAGCCTATATATACAGTACAGGGCGTCGGGGAAAGTCTGGACACATTTTATTTGGCTTTGTATGAAAAATGTGTCCAGATTTTGTCACGTATATATGTTCTACCTATTGACTGAGCAGGCGCAGCATGGCCAAAACAGAGAAAAATCGGTGCGTACGCGGGTAGTAAATGAATGTCGTCCTTGGTCGTACTGTCGGTACATAGTGTACAGTGCATAGTACACCGTATAGCAGTACAGTACAGTATAGTGCGTGAGTGAGTACTGCACACTGCACAGTATTGCAACTCGACACGGTAATGGGGTGACATCATTTTGTACAGACTCTGTAGAGTACAATGTACGCTGTACAGTACTGTAGTTACAGTATAATCTCTTCAGTACAGTACAGTACAGTACTGTACGGACACAGTGTACAGTACTGTATAGTACAGTGTACAGTACACTCACTGTACTGTACTGTACAGTATTGTGACTGAGTGAGTACTGTACACTGTATAGTATTGCTACTCGACACGGTAATCAACGGTGCAATACTGTATTACTTTTATTAAGCTCTCCATCTCATTCGCGGAAAGAATAACGTACAGTACTGTACACTGTACAGTGTACAGTATAGCAGTATGCCTTTCAGTAGATGGAAGTTAAATGATTATTTGATGTGACGTAATCCTATTGTAGAAATTGCGCAATGATGAATGGACGTGGCATTGTTGACAGACGGACAGCAAACTGGATGGTGTGCAAAAGCTCGCCGCCGTATATCGTAAATTAAGAGGGTTAATGAATTTCTATAATAGCGTACTTTTTCCACGTTGTGAATCTCGATTTATACCGATGATATATCCATGTAATGATTTCAGCTAATTACAGTAGTTATGAAGTAGAAATTACAGTGATACATGTGATGTAGAACTGTGCATCTCAATAAAATAAGGATAATTTTATTAATCATGACTTTACTATCTAACCTACTGTACTGTATCTTGCCTTCCTTATTAATACAAGTTGTACTGTACAATCGAACCAGCAATGGCTCGCCTATTAGTCCTCCAGTGTAGTCGTGAAAGAATCTAGCATTGATGTTGTGGGTATGAAAACTGTTATGTATGATAGACTGGTAATGTCTAGGAATTAGGGCAGATAAATTGCATAGCTGCCTAACTGATAAGATAGCCGTATGATACTGATATCGTAACTGTATTGATACGTTCACTAGTAATTTACTAATACGTATGTAATATATATATCACTTGTGGGAAAGGCAACCCAGAATAAAGTAGTGGACTCCAAGCATCAGGCTACTTTGCTGTGTCTAACCGAGCATTGCATGATTGACCTAGGGTCGCGATAGAGAACATAACGAAAACTATAGCTATTTGTAGCAGAGGTTATGACAATATTAACTGCAGTAAGCTATGGCTTACTAGAGTTCAATGTGGCGAGTATTTTTATCATTAATTAATGCTAATCAAATGCTATCAATTCTTACTGAATGCATAGTACTAACACTGTCAACTAGCTTAGAAATAAGCTACCGTATTCGCTACGTGGTTGTCAATACAATTAAAACGAAGCCAGACTACTTGATACATCGTTGGTACACTTACCTGCCAGGTACAAACGATAGTAAAATAGAGATTAAGCATAGAGATTTCGTAATATTAATCTTTAACCAGAGTATATGAATTGCTACAGCACAAGAATGAGTAACAGCTGCGTGGTATGTTGATGCGTTCGGTTATGTTAAAATTGCAAAATCCACTACATACTGTTAAGCTATACTTATAACCAGTTTATAACTGCAGTACTAATCTTCCGAAGGGCTACTTATATACTTGTTACGGTAGGGATATCGTAAAGATAAAAATAAATTATTAATGTCTACCAGAATAATTGCTAATTAATAGAATAGTATTATTATGATATTAATAAAAAGGGTTAATGGAAATATGATTAAATTGTAAATTACCAGCAATGGTTACAATGATAGAGACTGATTAAAAATTATGGCATTAATGGAAATTTAGAGTGATAGAATTTAAAACGATTGTTTTCGTACATTAGCGAGAGAGAGTATGCCTAGCTGTTAATGGCCGAATTGAATAGCGAGTAAAATGAATTAATAGGATTGCATCTCATATAAATCGATGTTAGATTTATCTTAATAGAAACTAAACTATATAATTTATATGTGTTCTGAATATCACTTATGTATGTGCTAATCTTGTTAAAGATGTATAAGAGCTTCAGAATTAACTATCAAGATAGAAGAGGTAGATGAATCTGTAGTAAAAGTATTTTTTAATAAAGGCTTATACCTAATGCGGAGCAGTGTTTACATGGCTAAGGTAGTTTGACTAGGTCGTAGTGACTAGAGACACTTAGCAGCAATAAACTTGGGACTAGTTATACGCGTACTTTTAAATTTAGAAAATTATGCTTGTTCAAATTATGGTTGTAACAATACTTTAAATATGGAAGTTCATTCCAGATGGTTTCTGTTGTAAAATATAATATTATACGCGTAGATTATAATTTGGCATGACTTGTACATTTGTAATCGGTACTGATGTAAGCATGTGCTAGAGGTATACATATATGCATGTAGATTGTAGAGAGATGCTAGTTTTTGCGTTACTCTGTGTTGTGTAAAAGTGAAGAACGGAAAGATTTCCACTTCTACCTGAAAGGAATTTGTCTACTTCTGATCTATGCTGCTATATCTAATATACTGTATATATACGACAGTTTTATTAAGAAAATCCGGCGCTAAATACTTTCTAATCTGTTAATATCAAATACATACAAATTAACCTTAATCGCTGACATTACTAACCAATCCTTTCATCTAAATGAATTAAGAGATACATAGATTCGCAGCGATTTTAGCAATTATGCAAACTATGCAAGGTATATTTTAAGAAACAAAAAGAAATTTTTAGATGTTGTTCGCGTATATCTGATAATAGAAAATGATGCAGAGGGAATATATTTGACAGCATAATCAAGGGCCAAGATTTAATATATAATAAGATCAAAAGGAATAGATGGTTCGAAGATTATATCGTAGCTCTTTGATAACAAAGTAAGAATTTATTGGAATTCGACTTGATAAAACTTATATAACAGATGAAAAATAATTTCATTCACCATATCAATATCATCCAATACTATAATTGCACTATTAAAATGCCATACTTTGAACAATACAATATACAATTTAGAAGAATTATTCTATTATACATAGATCAAAAATACGTATTTCACCATGTAGTATTGTCCTATAAGAGGCTATACGACAGTGTATTGAATTAGAATGTTTCACATCATGGTAAGAATCCATTTTGATTATGCTATATATCTGTATTTCGCTCTTTGAATGGGCATGTTTGCTAATCTACAAATAATACTTTATTATGGCATTATTTTTGATAGAAATACTTTACTGTTCATCAACCAATGCTAACTTTGCAATATTCAATCATTTGGTAGGGCATAGTACGTTGTAAACACATTTGAGAACCACTTTCCAACCAACCAGATTCTAATCCAAGATACTCTATCATAAATTAATTAATAATCAATTCCCTTACAATCCTATAGACTATAATTGTGTTACTATTTAAAAAATAAAACAATTTTAATCCTTAAGATATACGTCATCAAATACAGTTTGTTAAATTAAATGTTTAAATCTCAGTGTACGAGCATTTATTATTCAATCTTCGTCTAATTAAAATATTGATTTTCTGCATTGCAATATAATACATCACAGACATTGTCACGGTACGCCGTTACTAATTAAGTAACTGTAAATTAATGAATGCTTATGAATAGATAAGATAAGGTTATGTGCTATGTTTTAATGCGCTTGTAGCTTATAATAGGATGGTAGAAATGAGATAAAAATAGAAGTTGTTAGCAGTTAATTTACTGTAGGTTTATAAGTTGTGTTAATCTCTAAAAATTGAGCTGTATATGGACGAAGGTTAAGCGTCTTAACACCTGATAGCTTGTAGCTATCTAAGTCTGAGAATATCGACATGTATATTTAGTAATGGTATTATACTAATTAATGTAACTTGCAAAGCATGAATTCTCACTCGTTAATATTGGAATTCACTGTAGAAACCTATTTAAGCGCGTGTGTTTGTAGAATAAAAACAGTAATTGCTCAAGAAACGGCAAGACTCATATCGTGAAGAATAGTGTAATAATTAGTCAGTTGTCTGTGGAGATCAGCCGAGAAATCGAGTTCTCAAATACTTCTCTCATAGAAACTGAAAGTACTGGGAGAAATAGCCCAAGTTTTAAGTAACTACACTAGAGTTCTTTACTTTCCTTTGCCACAAGTGAGGGTTGTGACAGACATAAAA